AAAAACAGGTTCGATCTTGTGTGCAGCGTTCACATTTCAATGTATAGGCGAAATGTGACCATTGCGCCAACTGATTATTTTTTCATTGAAATGTTGTGATTCAATCGCTAGCGGTTGCTGCAAAGGCGCATAAGGTGTAAGTATATATATACAAAGGATGCGTACACAAACCGGCATATATAGACACATCCCGACATGGCGGCCAATGTTATATATATAGATGTTTTATTGCTGATTCGGCATAAGCTAGAGTCATGCTTAGAAACTGAGTAATTGAAGAGAGCATGGGCCTCGGCGCAAAGCCAAGGAGCTTAATCTAGTAGGGATAAGCAGTCATTAGTAGAAATGCAGGTCCGTGAAGTAAAGTTTCGAAGTTTAATTTTTCATTAGTGATCTTAAGGGGAGACACCTGCGAGAGGTGCCCCCCTCCCCTTTCATGCTTCAGCCATCGGGCCGTCACTTCAGTTCATGTCTTCTCGTGATGAAAGCAGTGGTCTCCGAGGAAACGTGGCCCGTGAGATCAGTTACACGCGCTTGTCTCTGTACTGGTGTTTAAATAGGAGCCAAAAATAAAAACAAAAACTATTTTGCGTGTATTACTGAATTATAATTTCACAATGCCAAAAACACCACTCTTGCTACGAAAAGACGCCTGGTAAACCAGAAAAACAAGCGAATGTAAAGTGTGGGTGGTGATGCCTCCTCTGAATTCCGGCACCAAACGCTCTGACGTCACAGATTTCGACGGCGCTGGGTCATATGTAGTTTCGGATCCATGAAAATGAAGTGCCTTACACTGTAAACAGAAACAAGCCGAGATGGGAGTAAACGACCTGTCTTCTAGCGCATGTTCTGATGTGGGTTTTATAAACACCGTCCGGAGGGAGTAAAACATTTACTCCCCAATAGGAAGGGGTTTTCAATGGATTCAGGGCAGTATTTATTTACATTCATCGAGAAACATTTTCAGGTCAGTATGGGAGTAAATTTTTTTATCAACTAAGAAAAATTACGTCAGAGACATAACATACTAACTTTAAAGAAACTTATTTGTGCTATTGTCGCCAAAACACATAATATAGACTGTCAAGACATTCAAGCGGAAAGATCAAGCGGCAAATTCTAGAATGAAACTTTTGCCTTCATTTTCTTTCGCACTATAAAGCTGGCATAATGAAATTAACGACGTCAGAGCTTTCAGAGTAAAACTCATCAATCTCAACCTATTCATTGTTTCAACTTAGTGTCCCTTTAAGACGCTAAGACTTAATTGATGTTAAAGAGCGAAATGCTTTTTCGCGTATTGGTAAAGTTAAATTTCCCGAAGACAGCACTCTTACCGCGACACGAACTCTTGGTACGCGAGAAAACGCGAAAAGAAACCAAACATTGTGACGTCATAAATTTTCGAAGGCGTCTACTGGTATCATCTAATCAACAAAATTGATGTACATTGCAATATGTGGTTGCCATAGATTTAGCATATGATATTTTAGAATGTTTCATTGAGCCAATGTCGCGAAAATAAGAGAAATAAATAGAATTTCTTACGTCCCCGCCGTGGTGGTCTTGTGGCTAAGGTACTCGGCTGCTGACCTGCAGGTCACGGGATTGAATCCCGGCTGCGGCGGCTGCATTTCCGATGGAGGCGGAAATGTTGTAGGCCCGTGTGCTCAGATTTGGGCGCACGTTAAAGAACCCCAGGTGGTCGAAATTTCCGGAGCCCTACACTACGGCGTCTCTCATAATCATATGGTGGTTTTGGGACGTTAAACCCCACATATCAATCAGGGTTTCAATGAATTCCTGCTAATGTACGTATAATTGTGCAGTGGCTGCACATTACCTATCGAAGTCGATCCAAATTGATTCACACCTTGGTTGCGATAGGCCCTCTTCTGCTACCTACCCGAAGGAGCTAATCGCTATCGATGAATTTGATTGATCACATTCGATCGTGGGAGGCACCCCCCCCCCCCCCTTATTCTCCGTCTTCCTTTTGGAACTGAGGGATTGCTTTCTTATACGTAATATCATACCGGTGTCACACGGCCACATGGAGGGGCGAAGCACCTTAATGTTTCGGCTTGTCATGTCGTCGTCACGGCCCACCACAAACGAGTATGCGCCACAGAAATTGGGGAAATTCCGCCACTCGCCACCGGTCCATACTGTGCGCGTTATGAGTTGATCGCGGTAACGTTTGGTTTAGCAGTGGTACGTGTCACAATCCCTTACGGAATTCAGCAAGGCGCTCAAGTTTGTTATGGGAAACCAGAGGCACAAACGTGCTTCTAAGATAAAGCCAGAAATGTCATTTCTAGAAACATATATGCAAAGTGATGGTGCGTTAGCGGACCTGTGGCGAGTGAAACAGTAAAGAGTAACGATTTCGATGTGGGAAATATCGGCGCGCACTGCATGTTTCGCCCCTGGTTCACATAAGTGGAGCTGACCCCCCCCCCCCTTTTTTTTTTTAGGGGTGGATGCTCTTTAGGCCGTGGGTCGTGCGTCCTCGATGCATGTAGTAGCAGTAGTAGGTAGCCACCTCTCGTTTAGTCCTTGGAATGTCCGCTGGATGGCGGTACTTGTATATGATGTATATATGATGAAAAGATGCGATATGGCGGTACTTGGAGTGTTCAGATAGATGGACCGACGGGCAGATGGACGGACAGACAGGTGGATGGACAATTCACGGTTTACCGATAAAACCCTCCGAAGCTTCGCCCCACTCATCATCGTTAACACCGTGGCCGGGTATGCTGTGATTTTTTTTTTATTGCGCATGTTTTTCTTTTATTCGCGATCGGGCCTGGTTCGCATTAAATCCCTGTAGGGCTCAATTGCACTCGGCCGTGCACACTATGACAACGGCTACGCCACTAGCGCCGCGATTGCAATCTCGCGAAATTGGTGTTCTTCTGGCGCTCGACTGGTGGCCCGTAGGTCGGTGGATCGAATCCTGGCCACGGCGGCCAGGCGAAAAAGCTTGAAGCCCGTGTGCTTAGATTCGGGTGCACTTTAAAGAACCCCATGGTAATAGAAATTTCGGGAGCCCTCCACTTCAGCGTATACATAACCCCTTCACGTGTTTGCTTAGATGGATTGAACCCTCTGCATAGTGAATATGCCTTGACTTAAACTCAGTGCGCTGCGTGTGTTCTATGCAATGTTGGTGTCACGTGTAAGCTGCGACGTGCTTGCTAGCTTGTACATATGTTCTGGCTCCTATACTATGAGGGATTGGCCATTAAATAGGTGGCTAATAAACAAGGAAAAAAGAATTTAAAAGTTAGATGAAGAAAAATAATAATTAGTCATCTAGAGAATATAAAAAATTGATCATAAGGTACGTACAGAACTATCAACTGAAATGAATAAATAAATGATAATTACAAAGTATTAGATTTCGATTAGGAATAACCCAATGAGTAAATCTTCTTGTGTCTCTAAGAAATTCGCAAATGGCTATGCAGACGTTCCTGATTCTGTGGCCCAGAGAACACGAAGCCCCGTCCTCAAGGGATGCAGAAATAAGCGTACTTTTTTTTTCTCTCCTAACTACCATCATTACCACCATGCATCTACATTGAACTAGCCGCTGTGTAAACGACCGCTTGCGAGGACAATGACATTAGAACTAAAACAGCCGTACCAATTTGGCAGTGCATTGTGCTGAATGTGGTTGTACCTCAATTGAGCTTTCACCAGGCGCATCTTTTGCGCAGCTACGAAGATAACCGCGCCCTCGAAACACACATGAAGCTTTTTCATCCATGCAGGTCATTCATGCATGCCCTCCTGTATATCGCACTTACCTAGAGATCTCCATGGATGAGTGTCTCACGCAATCTTACAGATCAGGGAATGTGCTTTAAATCTTCTGTCTCTCCCTCTCCTCCATTTTTCTCCTTTTTGTACTGCAAAAATAAACGCAGTACGGTAGTCAGAGTTACGTATATAGCCTTGTCCTCATAAGTCGGCGAACTCACTCTTGAGAAGATTAGTCAGACTGAGATTCAGCCGTAAATAAGTCGAGCCTGGGTGAGTCCTGCTAAGATATTTTGGTGGGATTTAGTCGAACGAGTGCAAAGTTAAATAACGTGTCTGAGTTTGAGTGAGCTTGATTGGCGAAAATAATTATGAGTGTGAATCCGAATGAGTCTGCTTCAGCAAATTGTTGGTTAGTCGGGGCCCGATCGAGTGGGTACTAATCGAAAAACATTTATTGGGTGACTTAGCACGTACATTTATTTTGCCAACTTATGAATACGTACTGACAAGCTCATGTTCGCACGCTTTTCAAGGCCATATTCATATTTATGTTGTGGTGGTGGTGGTTAGAAGATGAGAAAAGGCACCTAATTTCTGCAACCCGGTCGGGAGCACGGCGCAGTGCCTATATGTTGTCTGAAAGTCGCGGTAAAGAATAAGCGACAGTGCAGCACCGCTCCCTCCCAGTTAGGAGCAGGAGTTCGATGAGCAGACCTTGACCTTTTCTCAAGACTACGAAGCCGCATTTGTGCTTGGACTGCGGATATGTGCTTCTGTGAGCACGTGGCTGTTTTAAGCAACGCGTGCAATAATATAGCTTAAGCATGCTTCCGTTTCGAAGTTATGAGAAGAATGAATTCATGACAACTATTCATGAAATTACTACGCATGACGTGGTTTGCTCGTGTACAGTGTTTGCAAACTGGTGAACACCCTGCATACTTAGCGATTTCTTTTGTCTTGCCTGCGTGTGAGTTACATTCTCTGCTGTAGAGTCCGATATGGCCGTCTAGTTTCTCGTGTAGATAGCGGGTAATTTTCTTCCGCCCCTACTTCGTTTCTTCGAGCCATCTCCGATCCGCCGTGTTCGCTCGCTCTCCGTCCCGCCGACGGTCGCCGCCGCGCGGGCGGCGCTGCGATCGCAAGCCCTGTCCGCGTTTTCTTTTTCTTGTCTTCGGCGCGCTCTCCCTCCCCTTTCTCGTAGTCGTAGATTCTCGCCGCGCTGTTCGTCATCGTCGCCGCCGTCTCGGGCGCCTGGAGTCGTCGGAGTCGTCCGCGGCGGCTGCGGCATTTTTCCCGCTACACGACGCACGGCATCAACTCCGGCGTCCGAATGTTTTCCAGCCCCCGCTCGGACCATGCCGCTACGCAGCGGCCTGTGCTTTGCCTCAGCAGGCCGCCTCTGCATTCTTGATCCTGTTGGCCTCAGGTAAAGGTGGGACCGAACAAACGCCCAAGAACGTTCTCTCTGGCAATTTGATGTCTCTGCTGATTCGCGGATCCGGTGAAGAGGCAACGCATCCTGTTTCTTAGTGCCCCGAGTTCTCAGGGGCGGTGGTTTCACGATGTCCTCCCCGGATGTTCTGTGGCGAAACCAAGCTGTTTTCGCGGCCGCTCGTTCGGCATGCCCTGCGCCAGTGGAACGCGCCGCATCGACTGACGGCGAAGCGGAGGACGTAACGGGAACCCGCACGCTCCGTTATGTTCGTGATAATCCCGTTTCGGCCGCCAGCGTGCTCACGATTGCAATGTTTTTGGTCGAGTGCGAAAATCCGCGTCACTTACAGAGTGGATGTTGCCCCCCTTCCCCCCACAGAGTGGTGCATCTGAGCTTGCTGGTGCGTTTAGCGCGAGTGACGCGACTCGCGCGCAGCTGTTCGCGCGCGCGCCGTATCGAGCAGCTGCGCGCGAAGGCGTGCGCGAGCTCATCTCCCGAAGTTTACGGATCCTGACCTCAGCCCCTAGCTTCGCTTATTTTCCCCGCGAATAGTGCGGAATCCGTATCGGCGTGACCATGAAACCTCGCAGCGCGTCGCCTTCTCGTCTGAAGCGCAGCGGTTCTTCGCTGCGCGCGTGACATGTGTCGCCGCCGCTTGTTTCTTTTGAGACGCCCTTCTTTCGAGGTCACGAAGCTTCGTCGTGCGCTGCAATTAAGTGGTCCTACGGCAAACGTGCCTCGCTCAGCTTCTGTGGGATTCATGGGTGCAAACTCCTTTGGGGATCCGTCATATATGCGTGCGCATCATGTGATACGCTTCTTTAAATCGATGAACCGTGCCGTGTTCCAGTCGTTTTATTGAACTGCCTCTGTATATGTGGCCTTTCACCACCGTCTGTCTCCCGCCCACCGCAGCGTAGTGAATTGCATCGCTACTAAGTATATGAGAGAGGGATAACGTCGGCAGGCTAGCTCTAAGCACATTATAGTGCATGCACTTGTATGACCCTTTGCTCACGGGCAATCACTGTTTTCCGTGATGCTTTATAAACTTGCATACAGAAAGAAATGTTACTTGGTGTGTCCTATTGGCCACTTGTACATTCGATCACATTTTAATAAATTCGTTCATTGAACAGCATTTATGAGTACACTATTGCTGTGAAGTTTGTGCACTAAGTATACCTTGTTAAAATGACAAGTACTATTGCCTGGCTATTAAATGATTCTTATTTTAAGCACTTATGTTCCACTGGTTAAACAAAGTCAGATGTCAATCAAACGCCTGTAATATTTGTTTACATTACATTACGAATTGTACATTGGGTAATTGGGACTTTGCAGTGTTGAAATTATCATTTGTTATTGATTGCTGGTTTTGTGAAAACACTGTGTCCATTCCTTCTTTCTGTCTGTAGTTTAACTTTATAGTGCTGTCAGTTATTCTGTGATGAATGTCTTTAAAGCTCTCGGTAGTTGTGTTTGTTCTCAACTGTGCTTCATATCAACAAAAACCCCTACATATTCATGTTTTTATCAAAGTTGCCACTTGTGTTTAGTATAGGTGTTCTCATCATTACATTAAGATATTATCCATTACAGGTGGTAAGGAAACAGGCCATAAGTATTTTTTCTATTAAAACAAGAAATCACAATTAATTTCAAAGTTTCTGGGGTTTATACCTAACAGAGCATTTGCACAGACCATTATTCGTGGGCATACATTCGTGCAAAAAAGATTAGCCAGAAATTTCTAAGCTGCTGTTTGCTTTATCAAGAGACTGAACAATTTTAAAATGACTTCCTATTGCACTTTTACAACATCAAGGCAAAATTCTTGTGTCTACTGTGCGTAATGAAGTAATGTAACACAAAGGTATTTAGGAAAAGCTAGTTGGTTCATGGGCATTGTGGCAAAAGTAATTCTGTGTCAGGTATGTTCTTCGTCCAGTTGTCATCACTGTTTAATAATAAAGACAATATAATAATATGCCTGAGGTCCCTCCATTCAGATGTGGCAGATTGAGAGGGTTACGGGAAAAAATGAAAGGTGTCGTCGGAACGCTTTAGCTTTCTAAGCCTTCAGATGCCTTAAAGGGCCAGTCAACAGTCTCTGACTTTTAAACAAGCTCGCACATCTTTCGTATGCCTGACCAAACTTCTTCCACGCGGAGTGATGTCAACTCGGTGATCTGCGACGTTGACTTCATTACTGTTTGTTGAGACTTGGTTTAGACCAATCGACGAGCTGCGTGCTGCGTCACGTCGCCGATCGCTGAGTTGACGTCACTGCACATGGAGGGAGGTTGGTCACGCCTAGAAAAGATGTGCGAGCTTCTTTGGGGTGTGTGAAAAATAGACTGAGACTGCTGACTAGCCCTTTAAAGCTTTTGTGTTACAGCGTGGACCTGCAGGCCTTACTACTTGCTTACATGCTCATGTCCGAGACCCATGTTAGAAATGCATGTCTACAATGAAGCCTTCACCCGTTGCTTCTTTTCACTTCCACAATAGCATCAAATTCATTGAAAATATTTGAGAGAAAATTTATTCAATAATTGCAAATGTCAGATTTATAAACTGCGTTCACATAGACCGTTTTTCAATTTAATGCTGTCACTTAGCACACAAACATATGCCTTCTTTCCGTTAGCACTGCATTGGCAGCGGATGTTAGCAGAGGAACAGCACCTTTTTGTTAGCGGTGGCTGCCTACTATGAATTTGGGGGAAGGAACAAGAAGTTGCTAATCACGCTAAAAGCGTCTCTGACAATGACGTCATTGTATAGATCAGTGCTAAGTGCTTTCTTCTGAACTGCCTCTTTTACATTTCTGCTTTTTTCTCAGCCACCACTACTTCATCTGCATCAGCCACCGCGAAATTGGTCTTGGCACAATGCCAAAGAAAGGATCAGGATGAGCGACCGGGACACTCCACTCAAGCAAAACAACGTCCTACCAGGACAGAAGTCAACTGCAGCAACGAGAGGGCATGGGGATGGTTGTCAACCCATGAATGTGGCTACGGAACTGTCCACCAGCCCTTCAAAAAGTGACTCGACCCACACACCCTTCGTAACTAGCACTTTGCGTCCTGCCACTGCACCCTGTGCGAGACTCAGTTCAAAAGAAAATGAATCGTTTGCAAGGGCAAGCTCTTCGCCAGGAGTCTTGGACAACCATTCCAGGCCCTCAGGGTCGGGCAGTGCGGTTTGCCCTCAAACGGACATCCTCTTGCCTACCTCAGACGATAAGTTGCTTGCCAGGAAAGACAGTGAACTGCCACTGCGTCGTTCGAACAGTGACAGGCCCAGCTCTCAACCCTTGGTGCCAAAAGTGTGTGCTGACGTAAGCCGAACACTCAGTGTACCTGCAGTTACTTCGAAACAGTTATGTTCATCGCCAGTCAGGAGGAAACGCGTGGAGCAGGGGACTTCAAGAAGCTTGCCAGACCATGCCACAGCATCGGCGACCCATGCGCCGGATGTGGCACGGATCGACCCAAAGACAAGCGAGCCATCGCTAAACGAAGTCTCTTCGCACGACCAAAAACCAGGGTCGCAAAGTGAATCTTCAAACATTGCCATGGTGCAGCAAAGTTCCACAGGCACTGCTGAGTCCCCATCACAGCCCAGGGTGTCAAGCCACCGGGATTCCCAGTCGTCGGTGCAGAGTGTGAGCGATGCCAGCTCCATAGAAGTGACGGTGGCCACCCCTTCGTCCAGCGAGAGATATCTGCCGGCAGCGACAAAGCTCGATCTGTGTGGTATCAGTGCGTCAGTGAATAGTGTTGCTTGTTCGTCCGATTCAGATTCTCACGAAAGTGCAAAAAGCAGCCTTGTGTCCACGGATACGGATTCAGCGCTACGTGTCCAATTCACAGCTTTGGGTGGGAGGGAGAGGAGAGACAGCAGCGGAACGCTTTCTCTCAATCAAGCCCAAATGATTCCCAAGTCAGTATCATTTCACAGCGGCACAAGTTTACCTGCTGAACGAAAGATCTGCAGTGGTGAGTCTGATTACAATTTTCTTTTACGTATGGTGCAGTTTAGAGAGGTCAGGCTAGGAAATGCAGGAAACAGCACATAAAGCATAGCCAACTGAAGAGCGTCTTGCACCAAAGATAAGTTGTCTTCCTCTTGCTCCTTGAGGGCCTTGATGGTTATATTAAGTGCAGAGCACTTTAAATGAAACCGTGTATAAAAATTGACAAAAAAAATAAAAGACTGAGCAAGCAAAAAATTAAGAGACAGCAAAAAACGGGTAAAGTATAAGCAAACATCGAAATAAACTGAGATAAAGGGAAAAAGGAGGCAAAGAAAACTGCAAAAGAGGACAGGAGGGAAAGAGGACAAAAAAAATAAAACCAAAAGAAAAGAAAACTGAATACAAATGAAGTAGGCTACCCAGCTCCACAAGACCTTAAGCATTGGCACCACTGGTGTAAAACTGCCTTACTCTTTTAGATCAGTCTTATTACAGTGTATGGTTCAGCATTTAATCAAAGAGGTTTTAGATTGACGAGCAAAATTGTATTTTTTTGTCGAAATCATCTTTATTAAAAAAACTCGGCAGATTCCTTGTGCCGTGACAGTCAATGATGTACAAAGTAGGCATCAAGAAGTTTGCTATGTTGCCCTATTTGGCCTAATGTTACTAGGTGAATGGATGGGTACTCAGTAAACATATTTAGAAATTTTGTATGCATTCCCAAATTATACTGAAGATGATTGTCGGGCGCTGTTTCGTGCTAAGCGGGCGCATGGCGGGATGACTGAAGAATGCGGCAATGGTTGTCTCAAAGGTTGACCAGTTGGTAATTTCACCTTCGTAGTTTTTGAACCAGAGGCTGCAGCCACGTCAGCAAGGTTAAAGTGCATTTTTGAGAGCTTGTCGCATTCTCATTTGTTGAAGGCACTTACTATTTCATACTCAACGATCCAATCCTTGACATCGTGCTCAGGGTTGCTGCGAAATACGAGTGGGTCACATTGCCGAGGCATGCCAGTATAGAAAACTGTCGACGTACACCACCAATATTGCTCCAAATACAGCACCCATATTTTAGCTTTAAGAAAACATGCGACAATCAATTGTTCATAGTTGTGTAACAATGGCACCACTAACGCACGCACTACTAGCACTAGCAGTAGTGGACTAAAATGTTCTTTGTTTGTCCGTGATGATGGTTACATGAAGTGTAGTGCTTGAAAAATACTTAAAAGGCACCATGACTTCCAGCGTACAATCATAATCTGTGTAGTCAGATGTGCTGATGAAATATTAGCCCATTTAGTCAAGCACATAATACACGAGTAGCCCGAGAGTTGGGCAACACAGGCACACCCACAAGTTGTGACGTAATAAGTAGCTGGCTGTGAGCGCATCTGCATTCTGGGGAACACAACTGTTCTGTATGCAGCTGCATGTTAAATCGAGATATTTTAGCTTTCTTCAGCTTGACGCTGAAATCGAACGATTTGCAGCAGATAAATATGGGTACAAAACAGCGGTTCCGCTCTTTGTTGTACATTACGTCAAACACGCCATGGCAAAATGGTGGCCGCCAGCAGTGAGTGGTATCAACAGGTGGCAACTCTATGGCCCCCGTGGCACGGAAATATTTATGGCCCACTTTTCAGACCTGTAAAGGCATAACAGACCCTTCAGGTCTAGTTTTTGCTGTAATGGAAATTGTTCGGTGACAGTGTCGTCGCCCCTATAAGTGCAGCTTGTAGCAGCCGCATGGGGCCTTTAGCGGAGGGCACCTGATGCCTTTGCCGCTGCATGAGTCTGGTTCATGAGCTGTGGCTAGTCATCATGTCTAGAGCTGTGCAGCTTGCCTCCCATTCAAACAAGGTGGGCTTGGAAGAGGAAACACCAGATTGTATTTATATATGCCATACTCACAATGCATCATGGTATTACAGGGTAGGGGTGGGGGAAAACAAAGCATACATAGTGGTAGCGAGTACTAGCAGCATCATGAAAACATACGTACTAAGTACATATACAAAAATATCATTACTGTAAGATGAAGGCACATTATAGTAATCACTTGAAGCATGGTTATGCGAGCAATAATAATTATAATAGAATTGCAAGTGCGTTAGGGTAGTCAAAAGTATAATATAATATTCTATTACATAATTAGGTATATGAAAAAATACTACAGAATTGTAAGTACTCATGCGCACCTGTCATTAGTATAGTAAGAATGGGTATTGTAGTTATCTATTGAAGCATTATTGTATGAAAAATGAATAAAGGGGTGGTGCCATCAAATTTTGTGGCTGCAAGAAGCTTATCATGCATTTATTTTTTATGCAAACACACTCCACACGAATGATCGGACACGGCAGACATTTAGGATATATTTTAATTCACTTCCAAAGTGTACCTAAGTGCTCGTTGTCCCGATTAAGACCCATAGTGCGTCCAATGCTGACGTAGCTCTATAGGAAAGGCAGCGAAAGTTGTAGTGACGTCGCACCAGATCTGTAGTGACATGAGGGACCTCGGCAACATACGTACGAGCATAGCATCAGTTGCTACAACACTCCCAGCTTCTGAAGCTAGACAATGCAACGGTAAGCACTTTTGTTTTGCTGGTGCCATGTGCAGCACGTACGTGTGTGCGAGAGCAAATGATACTCAGCACTATGTGCACCACAGCTTTGTGTAGTCATGTGACCAAGCCACCTACACTGCTATGTCATTGCCCAACCTGGTGCCCAGAAACAAAAACTAAATGTTCCGGCTGTGGTGTACATTTTGTTCACGCCACATAAGAATAGGCTCTTCAGCCGTGTTTAGTATTTAGTTTTTAATTAAAAAAAAACTGGCCACATGTGTCAAGACCCCAAGTCTTTTCTTGCATTTTGTTATTCTAGTACGTCTTTCTGGAGCTCCTGGCAATGTATTTTTTTTTTTGCAATGAGATTATTCAACCATAAATTTGTAGTTTTACAACTTAGTTCCTCGGAGAATAGTCGGCAAAATATACTTCAGACCGGGACACCTATGAACCACTGGTGGGGGCTGCCCATTGAATGTGGCATACATACTGTTATGTTTTTGAATAGCAAAGGAACAAATGACCACAATTTTACAAATTGGTCCAAGAGTGCTATTGCATTGAAAGAATGAAATTTTCATTGCTTTTTCGCTATTCCCTTTTTTGTATTCTTTCTGTGAGTGTACGAAAAAAAACTTCGAAAGGGTTTAAGTGCTGACATTTCTCTTTGATGTACTAGTTACAGCGTGCTATATTTGTTTTTTGTTTTTGTTTCCATGTTTCCTTATATGCACAACTCGCCCCTGCTTAAGGCCTCAAACGGAAGCTGGCGGTACTTCTGAAATAAATGAATAAATCAACGAAGAGGCACAGACAAAACCCTCACAAATGTATGATTTTATGAGATAGAGCAGACGTGGGATGTATAATAGATTTTGGCATGCTAAGTAGCCCACATAGGCATAACAGAACTTTTCATATACCATGCAAATGCCATTAACAATAATGACCATCCTCACTTACATTTCTCTAAATTAATTTATGGCATATTACAAAAATGAAGTGCCGCATGCAAGTTGCAAGTGCAATTTTTCAAATAAGAATTTTCTTGCTGTAAGCTGAATTGCATATTTCTTTTATTTCTGGGAAAAACAAAAAACAAAGTTGCTTCTAGTTCACACACTTATTCAATTAATGTTTTTATGTTTCTTTTTGCATAGCTTATGGTGCAAAAAAACGAGAGGACAAGCACTTGTCCTTCTTTCATGTTTTTTTTTTTTCGCGCCACAAGCTACGTTAAGAATGAACCAACTCGTCCAACAAATCACTCTTCTTTTTTCTTTTAAATTACCTATCATAAAATGTTTACTCAGCGATGTGCTCAGTACTGCGAATGATGAAAAACATATATTGTGCATGGAGTGCAGCCTCAAATGGGCTTAAGGCCTCACACATTTGCAGAGATATGGAGAAGAAAAAGAAACAACTCATTCATCTAGGAATACAATTTACTATTAAAAAATGTAAAAACTCAGTCATCATATTGTTTCTCGGAAGCAAGAGCAGTAAGACTGCTAATTAAGTTCAGATATGCAACTTGTTCATATTCCTTTTTTTTTCTCTGGGAACTTCTTTATATGCATGAGATTCATTCTCTTGTTTATAAATACAGAGTAAAATCCCTCATCTGAACCATAATGCAAGAATGCCTTTTAAAGTCTCATGTCAAGTTGAACATTTCATTGTCTGAGCATTTGGGTGTGTTATTTTACATCAAACAGGGCAGGTTGGGTTAGTCTGATTTGATAGCCTCCATTGTTTTTCTCTGTCTCTCTTGCTTCTATTTTTGCATTTTTGATTTTTTGGCATAATGTCAATGTACTAATAGACGTTTTGTTTTTATTATTATTGTTCTATGTCAGTTGTTGTGGGCAGATGCCATGCAGCGTTCCATTCATGCCATAGATTCAATCATTCATTCATTCATTCATTAATACTGTCAGTGCTGTTGTAGGGCTATCGTACAAATGGAAGGTACATTGTAATACCATCATGCACTCAATGTACGTATAGGAAAAAAAATATGCTTTTTGAGAAAACCTAGTACAATAGGGTAACTCATGTTCTTGATGATCTGTAATATACTGATATATTGTGAAATGCCAAATAAGCATCCCCACCCGTGTAGGCGCCCCCCTTTGTTTTTCGGGATATCTGAAATAAGCGCCAATGACGGATTCGGGACTGAGCACGTGCCTCCGCCCAAATTTGGTCAAATTATCTTTCACCTTAGAGTGGGCGCTTGCACGGCATTTTACAGTAACAGTAATACATTAACAATAGTTATCTAACTGATATAACCGTCATTTGGATCGAGTTAAGGGAAGTTCAACAATTTCTAGTTTAAAAGCAGCAGCCTTAAAAGTGGCTTGTATTCTTTTCGTTCTCTTCTTTTTTTTTTCTTTTATGCAGCTCATGACTGTCTCCAATTTATGATCACCGGCAGCAGCCTTCTTAAGATTAGGGCTAGCTCACGTCAGTACCGTCGCTACTTCACGCTTGAAGAGGATCTCACAGCCATTAAATGGGTGCCATCTTCAAAGAAATCCAACAAAGCACGCTGTAAGTATCACACTCTTGTCAGATCTATTACATACATTATTCGAAAGTGAAAGAATCACTGAAGTGGCTGTTTGGCAGAAAGTGGAGAAAGTTAAAGGAGTAAATGATAGCTGCAATACAACACATAGGCTGTTCATAAGCACAGTGAATAAGCAATACAGATGAATTTGTTACAGCTGAAAGTTTTTATTGTCTACATATCTTTTGCAATAATGTTAATTCATATAGTTGTTCACATAGTCTAAAAATTGACAGTGCTAAGACGATGGTGGTTGAAAGCTTGGCATCATCGACTCTTGTACTGCAGGTCTCTGTAAACTATAAAAGGCAAAAATAAGCCCACATTTCTTTATGCTGCATTTTTAGCACTGACCTTGTTTGTTTTGCTTGTATATTAACAGGTTACGTTCTTTGCAGTGTCTATACGATCTATCCGAGAAATCCGAATTGGCAAGAGCACTGATGTGCTCAGGGACAAGGAAGTCGCTGGATGTTACTCCGAGGACTGCGTCTTCTCAGTCATATATGGTGACGACTTTGAATCACTCGACCTCGTGGCCTCTACTCCCGACGAAGCCAATTTCTGGGTCACTGGCCTGAACATGCTCATTGCAGCCAATCGATGTAAGCAGGCATTTCCAAATTTTTTGTCTGCTGATACTCCGTGACAACTTTTTGTGGCAGCTCTGTGGAAGCTACAGAACCGAAGCGTATGCCACACCAAAATTGTACTTAGGCTTAGTGATAATTTTCTCCTTGGCCTTGCTAGAAAAAATGCTGCTTTATTTATTATGATACTCAAACAATTGTGGAAAAATTGTTGGTAAAATGTCAACATTGTAGGAATCGTACAGTTTCCTAAATATACACTAGAGGGAACTCTGGCGCCGGTGTATATGGGAGCTGCAACACACGGTGACTCATCGAGCATGGGAATGATGGGTAGCAGTACATGTATTTGCCTAATCTTCACACTTTATGTTCCGTTTGGTTTCACATGGCTTGAAGCTTTTTTGTCACGAAACAACAATCAGCAATAGTTTATCAGTTATGCTTCACCACTTGAATCGTTGAGCTCATAAATTCGAATCGAGTCACAAAATTCAGAACGGCTTGTTCTTTTGTTCGAAACAAAACCAAATTGCTGTAATATACGAAGACACAACTGTGTTCAAAGCTCTCGGCAAATTCGTGTACTACCCAACATTCCCATGGTCGCTGAATGATCGCCGCTCCAGAGTCCCCTCTTGTTAATTTTAGGAAACTCTACGGCAGGAATTCCTTCCTTTTCCTTCCGCTTATCGGGCAGCACCACCATTTCAGCACATCCATTCTCCAAAATAAACATGGTGTCTGTGATGTAGTGGGTGAGTGTGCGTTTGCAAATGCACTGTTTAGTTGTAGTACAGGGAAAAATATACTCGTAATATGACATATAAATGTACATCAAACCATCAAAATATTTATCATACACATTTTTTTGTACTATATGTTTTTCTAAACACGTTAAGTATGCGAGTGAGCAAAATATAAATCAGTTGCAGGCTGCCTTACTACTTGAGCAACATGATTGTGCCAAAGCCCAACCTCTGTAGCTTGCACTCCACTGTCAAGACAAGTTTCTGCAGAGCATAGTAATTGTAGATGAATTTGCAAGGTTAGGCTATATCAGAGCTTGTAGCTTGTCATTTCTTAACACAGTTAAGAAATGAAAGCTCAACTCTGAATGAGAATGACAAAGTGGGCGAGCTCAAGTTGATTGTGCAAAAACTGCTCTTAAAGGACTGAAGTGCAGGAAAAACAAATAACGAAGTACGAAGTAGAGCACATGGATAGCACCAGTGCTCATTTGTCATTCTTTAGTTTTTTCCCCCAATCATCTTTACCTTTTTTTCATCAATTCAGTGTGTCATGCTGAAGTTTTTATACCACAATGTTATCCATTTCCTTGTTGAAGTATGTGGACCATAACAGTTGAAAATGTGAATGTTATTTCAATTTATAGAAGTTTGGTTTATTTGAACTTCGTTATTCCTATTTATTGTCTTCTAGTCTTGTACAATATATGTTGCGAAAATCTCTGTGAATGTGAACACTCTAAATGCACGAAATTTTTGTTTAGATTAAACATCAGGGACTTGAACATGGTAAAATGAAGAAGTCTTCCCATATAACTGGAAAATAGTGATTTTCTTAACCATAAATTTTGCCCTTTTGTACGTTTTCACTGGCAGAACAGTAATCCTGGCTGATATACATGTTGGACTAATTAGCCATTCTCAGATAGATGATGTGCCCTGAAAATTTTTGCCTCAAAATTTCACTTGAAAGAGCCAAACGTTGTTTGCCAAAAAAAGAAAAATCCAGCAAGAACAGCGAAATTGGCCGCATATCTGCGTGCTTCGCCACAAATGTCGTTGAAAGAGTATAGTCTTCTGGCAGACGTCTTTTTTCGTGCATGGCATCACATTTTTAATGCTGCGGAAGAAATGATAGGGTCTTGAGAATCGCGTATCTATGTGTTTTCTAGTAAAGGAACATATCACCTAATACTTGCATATTGATGTGGCATCTCAAATATGCATAATATTTGCTTTTTGATGGACAGTGTGCACAAGTATGAACGCAGCCACTAGTTCGAGATGGCTGGGCGTTTAGCAAGGGCTTAAACTTTGGCTGAGCTGCCGAATATTGGGACAGACTGACAGACTGAAAGACAGACTAAAATTTCTGCTTTCAAGCATCTGGAGAAAGACTATCGTCTTAAAAACAATTTCAAGACCAGATTAAAGCGGCTCTCTTCACAGATAAAAAGTGATGCACTTATCCGGTCCTCTCTTTGTATTTTGCAAGAAAAGAAATAGAGGATCATAAACAGGAGTGGTGCCTTTGCTGGCATTAGTTTCATGTAAACAGGATTTGGTTTCCTGTCTTTTTATTTCATTTCAAGTATCCTCAGGGTATAAACGTACATTGAAGAAGGAAGGGGCAAAAGTTAATGCATTTAATAAATACTTGGTTATTAATACAAATGATAGAAGTAACATGATACAGTGGCACGCTTACGAAATTTTGGTTACAAAGGCAGGAAACGAGCCAAGTGAATAATAGAGCAATCGAAAGAGTTAATTTCCCAGGAATAGTTAGAAAGTCAGCTCGTTCAATACACTGTGAAGGGAGATATAAGAATGCAAACATAATATGCGAAAAAAAGGAATAATTTTTAAAGTGAAAGCATAAATGTAGCAGAAATATGCAGAACTTATGTGGCTTGCTAATGAAAGAAAAAAAAAAGACTGAAAAGATGTGAAGTCATAACATACAGGTAAACCAATCAAAAAGGTGGAATACAAAAAGTGTGAGCCACGTTAATTTAAGTTGAAACTCTGGCATTCGATTTTGAGGCAATCGGTGTTCGTTATGCTGATAATGAATGCATGAAGGTTGTTCCCATTCTGGCTTGTTTAGGGGAAAAATAAATATGAAAGTTGAAGCATCTCCGTAGTTTATTTTATTTATTTATTTCATACCTGAATCACCACAGTGGGCGTTACAGCCGGTGGGTTGCTGTAAAAAAAACAAAAAACGCAATTGCACTCACAAAATGTTTGCAATGTCGGGTAGTTCAGCATCGTATTCTCATGGCTCATGAAAAAAAAAAAAATACCTGAAGACGTCACCTCTGAAAGAGATTGCCCATCTTGTTTATGTAACTCTTTCTTTTGTGTTTGTTCAGCTACACTCGCTTAGATGCACAAGTTCTGAAAGAAACTTTGTAAGCATTAAATGCGTGGTTGCACCTCGACAACACAGGTTGCACTTAACCAACACATAAATTGCTTACTTGATATACCTTTCTCGCTCAATGCCTGTTTTGGAATGGTAAACAGCCTGAAAAAATTTCACTCGACGGTTTTCCCACCGATCTTGTAGTGCCTGCCGCAATGATTTGCGTTTGCTTCCCGTCCTGCTTAATGTTCTACCATAATTTTTTAGTACAAACCGTACCGCCTTATTTCACACCTTTTCGTGTTGTTCCGTGAGAACAGCTATGTGTGGATTCCAAAAAATACAACCATAATCAAGTATACTGCAGACATAGGTAAAATGAAGGAAAAGAAAAACATTTCATATGAATTTGTGTTGCATGCTTTGTTTAATGAGCATTGTGGAATAAATAAGTCCACAGCGCTGAATACAAGGACAGACTTCAAAAAAGAAAGGACACCTACGAGGACTGAACAAGCATTTCACAGTGCTGTGAACAAATATTTGTTCCTTCTATCCGAAACTAGTGGCCCATTCAGCTTCGACAATCTTGTTGTCTGTTCTCAGCTGTAGGAGTTACGCAATCCCTTCTTTTCACGACCTTCCAATGCGAAGTCGTGTTTCAAAGTGACAGGCGCAATTGTTTGAAGAACGAGCTTTCAGCTCTGTCCAGGATTCTCAATCTTGAGTTCTTCTTTACGCAAACGTTCTTTTTATTTCTTATTTCTCGCTTCTCCTGCTTCGTTGAGACTTGTCTACTTGCTTTTTTGAAACAGTGCTTCTTGTCATGTAATGCCTTGCTTTTTTTTTTTTCAATATTGTTTTGCTGTAGATGTGGCTGTTGTATTGTTCCAAGTACTCTCTTGTACCTGTCTCTAAGTGCCTTTCTACTAGTGTTTGCCAAGTTAAGGGGGACATGGTACTTACATTTTTTTCTTGATAGATTTTCATAAAGGTTGGCAAGTTTATGCTTGTTTATGTCTTGATTTGATATTGACAGTCATTTTTTTTTGTATAATGAGTAGTTTCTAAAATAAGAAATATTTTATGTGCCTCTTGGTGAGCAAGTTTTGTTTTTTTAAACTGATGATGCTACAAAGTAAATCAGCGTGTCACAGTACAAATTCTAAATTTCTGGCATTGTAAAATGAAAATCAGCCACAAGCTGCCGTACCACTTGCTGAGCAACACGAATGTACCTCCGTAGTCTTGGCTGCAGCGTCAAGATAAGTGTTCTCCCAGGATTTTGCTCATTCGAGAAATTCACCCGATGTGTCTGCTGATGCTGCTTCATGGGGTCATGCCATGAGAAGTTTTTGAGATTCAGCGTTCACCAGAAGCGAAACATTGTCTTTAATTCATTTTCTTTTCTTTTTCAGCACCTGATAACCTGGATGAACGACAGCGTATGAGAGAAAAGTATCCTTGTTATCTGTTATCTCTTCGTAACCTTTCTTCACAGCACCTTTGGTGCAGCTTCTTGCAACGAAAGTGCATCCACGAGACTTATTGCAGGGCAATTCACTTATGTCTTCGGCCTCTTATCAGGAGGAAAAATAATGGCTTTGTCCATGCATGACGTCGAATTTGATTCTTCATAGTGATATAGCTAATTTTTTTCACTGTCTTGGGGCACTTTTGACTCACCATCATTTTTAGTTGCTTGCGCGTATGATTCTTGGGACAGATTAAGCAATAAGTGACATGCTGTGTAGAAATCTTTGAAATGGGCACTGCGAAAAATGACACATGAAGAACCCACCACACAGCACCATCTCAGAACTAACTTTTTTAGAAAGAATTCGTGCTATTCAAACCATAACCAAGTACTGTGTGCTCTTACATCATTTATTTCCAGAAAAAGAAGGAAGAACACATGCTTCTGCAGTTTTCTAGCTGCAGAAACAGCTAGAAAAACGGTCATCACAGGTGTGCTTTTTTTTACAATGTCAATTGTTGCTCAGTGGTTACGGTGCTTGGCTGCTCACCTGAACGACTCGAGTTAGGTGTCGCATGCAACGGCTGCGTTTCGATGGAGGTAAAATGCTGGAGGCTCGTATGCTGCGAGGTGTCAGTGCAAGTTAAGTAATCCTTTGTATTCCTCAACTTTCCCACACATTACCACTTATCTAGTCTAAAACTTTTTAACTAATTTTAGGTGTTCTGCGAAAACACACTCACATGTCAAAATGAATGGCTGCATATGTATATTTTTTTCTTCCTCTTGTAATTCAGTCTATGGGCAGTACATTTAAACTGCGTGGTACTGCTCAAAGTATTTCCTGTGTTGTAGTTTTTGCTTTCTTAGGCCATGTAAAACTGGAATATAGGTAGGAAAAAAAACAATGAAAAGTCGTCCCTTGCTTATATACGCTCATTGGCAGAAAAAATTGTGGAAGTCTTGCAACAATGGGCAGCTGAAGTCGAAAGCCTCCATTGCCATAGTGAGCATCAGCAGCGGCGCCGTTGGGCAATGCTAGGCAAGGTCTGCAGTGTCTTAGCCACACCATTTTGCCTCTGTTATGTGCTGTCAGTATGCTGTTTTCTTTTTTCCATTTCCTTCAGAAATGAGTAGTAGTCGATGGCAGCTTACGATAGGCTTCAACAAAAAAAGTTATCGAGTATGCTGAACCGCACGTCAAGTTGGTGGCACAACAAGAATTCGGTGCATCGAAGAAAAGTGTCCTATACTGGAGGAGCCAAAAGCGGCGCATCACATCCTGCAGCAACAAAAAAAAATTGTTTCGTGGACAGACTGCTGTGCACTCCGAACTGGAAACGCTACTCGCCGAATTCACTTGAAACGCTTTGATATAACACAATGCGAAGCTCTGTGTGGTGTGTGCCATCTTGTGTTCATATATTGTTTTGGGGTTCATCAATGCTTTTCGGTATGGTGTGCCACTTTTGGACATTAAGCCTTTTCATTGATTGTTTGAATGATTGATTGGACTGTGTTTGGTTGTTACATCATTCTTGACTGCATAAATAACCAGGTGGTTGCAGGAAATGTTTGAAAAAGCTGACACGGAGAGGAAGGGGCTTTTGGATGAAGTGGAAACCATAGCCCTGGTTCAGAAACTTAACAGCCAACTCAGTGTTGTCCGACTGAAACAAAAAATGATGGTGAGTGGGGTTCTCTCGTGTTTCACTCTTGCTTGAATGTGCTGCTTATGCTTACTGCTGCACTTTTCTCTGTGCTTAGGAGTTTGATGTTGGGAAGACAGAGCAAGACCGGGGCAGGATAGACAGGTCTCAATTTGTGAGCTTGTTCAAGGAGCTTGCTACTCGTCCAGAGGTGTATTTTCTCATGGTCAGGTGAGTGTCACTGTACTTGCACAATTCAAATCGGCTTATGTTCATAGTAATAGAATTACTTACCAACCTTCTAAACTCCTTCCAGGACAAAGACGTTACATGGGTTAGCTGGTGTGTGCAAATTAGTAAACATTTGGTTCAAGGTGAATAGTGATTTGGTTGAATAATTTCGTATCGAACTTGAATAGTATACATCGAATATCCTAAAGAGAAATGAGCATGTCTGTCGTTGCCCAACTAACCTGCACAATATTTTTTTCTAAGGATTGAAATAGGGCATGTGCAGATGCCATTCTTCTTGGTTCGGAGGAAGTGGAAGAAACTTAATAGTAGCACGATTGAGTCGAATGCTAGTGGTAAACTTGGTACACTTTAAAGTTTAGTGCGCTTAGAGGATATAAGCTGGAATAACATGCTATTAAACTTTAAAAATGGTGAATCGATGTGAGGATAATTTCATTCAACCTTGAGGTTAGGCTTTGTGGCAGTGTCAATTTCTCCTGGATAATTCTATTCATGGTGCCGCACTTCTCAATTGCAGTGGGACCATCTTTACAGGGGGAGGATGCATGGGGATTTTTGTACACTTATTTGTTCATTTTGATTACTTTTAAATTTCTTATAATTTAAATTTAAAGCAAAGGGAATTCAAATGCTGTAATATTAATTCAAATATTCAAAGTGCTCAAATATTTGCACAAGCCTACAGATAACCTTAGTTGAACCCATCCTATAGATTGTTCCATCAGGCGAGGAGGACTGGACTGACAACCAGCACTTTCATGCTTTCTGGTGCGTGCCGACAGCACGGAGTGTATGAGCTGGTTCTGGGATGAGCGGCGTTATCGAACAACTTAGCATGTTTTACATCAAACTGCTGATTTTCTTCTCCTTTGTTGCAATGTCAGCCAGCAAAACATCAACAGGAAGCCACCATGTCATTTCTGCTTGTTCTAAGAACAGCAGAAAAAATAAAGGAAACGGTCGTCTGAATAAAGCCACTGCTGATGCCGCTGCTGATGCTCAGCGTTTGCGGCTGCTTCATGGTACATTGTTTGTGTTACATGACAAGTTTTATGTTGGCAAGTGCCACAAAATACCCGGAATGCCCAGGGTTCCACTCGGCCAAATGACAATCCGTATGGTTGGTTGATGACCAAACATAAGTGGTTAAGTACAGCTGTCCATTCAAGTGCGAAACACCTGAGCACCATTCAAATAGCTGCCTGTGCTGTTTTTGCTTTGTTTTATTATTGTACTATAATATTATGTGTTTGTTCAAGACCATTAGCCTCGTAGCTTGGCTCAACAAGATAATTTCAAGCGTAGCACCTTTTCCTATCGTCTCATTGATGGAACGACGATAGCCCTATTTCGCTCACTTATTAGCGAAATAAGTTGAGAATCTGAACTGCTTGAAAGTGACCCAAATAAGGCATACAATTCTTTTTTCGATAAAATGATTGCTGGTTACGATAAAGCCTTTCCGCAACATAATGTTACAAAACGATCTAAAAAAATTAGGAAACCTTGGGTTAATGCTGCGCTTCTCACAAAAATTAAAAGAAAAAATCAAATGTACCACACATTCATTAAAACACAGAATATTAATCAATTAGCCGAATTTAAGACTTATCGTAATCAAGTAAATTCAGAGCTAAGAAAAGCGAAGGAAAAATATTACGAAAGGGTTTTCTCGCGTATATATACGAATCCAAGAAAAATTTGGCTAGAAATTAAGAAGTTGTCTGGAGCGAATGCTACTTGTGAAAACATACGAATATCGTCGGTAAATGGTGCTCTTACAGACGGTGAAGCTGCCAGTGCCCTAAATACTCACTTTGTTGAATGCTGTAACAGCGATTCCTTTGAATATCCTAAGTATGTAAGACTCGCTGTAATGAAACAATCTGTGCCAAATTCTTTTGTATTTCCTACGACTGCAGGTGAAGTTGAAAAGGTAATCAGTAGTTTTAAATGCAATGCAGCTGCAGGATTTGACGGTATACTGGCATCTCCCATAAAAGATGTATCGGATATCATATCTACAGTCCTAGCCCATATTATCAATAGAATGTTCGAATGCGGAATTTTTCCAAGCAAACTTAAAATAGCCCGTGTCTCTCCAATTCACAAAGGGGGTGCAGACAATTCTGTAAACAATTTCCGACCTATTTCAATACTACCACTCTTCTCAAAACTTTTTGAGGCTGTTATTAATTCACGACTGGAAGGTTTTTTAAATAAGTATGCTATAATTAGTACATCTCAGTATGGATTTCGGAAAAACAAATCATGTGAGGATGCACTCCTCAAAATAAAACATCAAATACTACAAAACATTGAAAATCGTTTATACACGATTGGTTTATTCCTTGACCTCCGTAAAGCGTTCGACAGTGTGAATCATGAAATACTGTTATCTAAACTTTATAGCTATGGGATACGCGGTACAACGTTATATCTCATGCGAAGCTATTTAATTGATCGTTTTCAGTATGTTTCAGTTAATCAGGTGACCTCTCCATATCTTAGAGTACAGACTGGCGTACCGCAGGGATCAATACTTGGCCCGGTATTATTTAACATATATATCAATGCCCTCCCAAGCATTTCACCTGCACCGAACATAGTCATGTATGCGGATGACACTAATCTTTTCTTTTCAAATTCATCCCCTTGAAAAAGAAATTAATGATTATTCAGATTTATTATCTGACTGGCTGAAGTTAAACAAACTTCAAATAAAATGTAAACAAAACTAAGTATATAATATTTAAACCGATAAATAAGCCAATGCCTGTCAAGATTACTGTTTTATTTAAAGGAGAACAGATAGAACAGGTATCAACGCAAAAGTTTTTGGGGGTATGGTTTCAAGAAAACCTCTCTTGGGACAATCATATCAATAAACTCAGCAGCGACCTCAGTAAAATAGTAGGCTCTATGTATAAAATTAGTAGTCTTACACCACTAACACTAAAGAAGGCAATGTACTACGCCCTCTTTCACTCAAAACTTGGCTATTGTGCAATAATATGGGGAACAACAACTGCAAAAAATTACAACAAATTAATAAAACTGCAAAAAAGGGCAATGCGAATTTTGGAAAACTATCACGGTAGACCGCGAGATTTACCCACACACAATCTTTTTGAGAAACACTCGTTAATCAGAGCAAATCAAATCTACTATTATAGATTACCTTTGCACATAAAAAAGCACAGGCTCCATGTTAGTAGCCTGCCCGTTTCTCCCCATCGATATCAATTACGCCACCAAACGAGAATGCCACCACTTATGCGAACTAACTACGGGCGTCAGGACCTTGAGTATCAAGTACCCCGGCTATTGAACATTGTTGAACATCATATAGATTTTCATGCACCCCGCTTTAAAAAATTTATAAAGAACTTTCTGTTACATTCCACGATAACTTATCAATAAAATATATGTCTAACTTTCTACGTGTACCGCATATACAGTTTGTGCTACAATTTGAAAGTTCACAATTTAATGCGTATAGGTATATAATCTTGGAGTGTCTGTATGATATGTTTGTTTTCATGAAGTGTTTTCATGTATGATGTCTATCTGTAATGCTTTATTTGCAGTGACAATTATGTTCATGCATGTTTTGATTTTTCTGGTTGCTCTATTGTTTGTATACTTGCATCGCATGCAAATATGTACATGCATGCCGAAGGCGCATGGGAGTAGGAGCCTCTGTCAGGCAATACGGCCTTTAGCTCTTACTCCTCTTTCCGTATCAGAAAGAAATGAACTTCAATTCAATTCAAATTGAATTCAATCACTGCAGTTAATGTAGATGTAGCTGGATTAACACGGACGAAAAACCTTTCACCTCACAGCGGCTTAAACAACGTGACACAATTAATTTGTGCTGTGCACCAGCCTTGCAAAGCTTGAGCATTCAATGAATATCGCGTGAAAATGGCATGGCGAGATATTTGTTGTAAGTGTGCCATTTACGTAAGACAGCGGGATGTATTGTGCACGATGCGGGATATGAAAGCCGAATAGCGAAAAAAAAAGGGTGTTCTGTTACTTCGTCTGTAGAATAACTATCTCAAGTAGTTGTTCCACACACGAAGCCAAGAACCGTGTCTGACAAGTCACGCAATTATATACAGCATATAGTTAATCCTCTTCTAAAAGGAATACAAGAACCACGTTGTTGCGGCTGTTTATTACTTATGTAACTGTCAGTTTGGCTGCTTAGCGAACAACTGCCGAGATTTCATTAAAGCAGTCCGACTGGCAGACAAAATTATTTTGACAACAATAAACAGAAGATGGCTCTCACGCTAATCCTAAGTTCAAGCCAGGGCATGCTTGGTGCATCATCGGCAGATGAAACTCTCATTATCTTCACTTTATCGCCACTGCAGTGTAATCAAATGTCACGACTCTAAAAAAAAAAAAAAAGCACGCTGGCATGTAAACATCAGCCTCGCTTTTTGTTTACCAGCATCTAACTGTAAACAGCTGTGCATGTTTACGCACGATCACATGTACAGGGTGGTAGTCGCTGCGACGGCATAAACAAACTGTGATTGAAAAAAACAAACTTAAGTATTACAGTCCAGGAAAAGATTCATTGTATCTTCAAAGGGTGCCAGCACCTGCTTGCCATGCCAGAACTAGTCGAAATATTCTTGCGTTTTCTAACAGATATATTTTCAGCCGAAAATATATGACACCGAATACTTGCGGCACGTTCGCACCATTGCATATTATCATATTTGACTCTGAATGGATCAAATTCAAAACCTTTCAGGACGCCTAAGACTCGTTTTCTACCTATTCTGCATCATTTGAGACGAAATTCGGCCTGCCGGAACGAAAAAAAAAAAAAAAAAACTGGCTGCAACTGCAACCTTATAAATACCTTCCATAGAAATGGGGAGCTTCACACGTGCCAGTGGGATGCTAGACTTGGGACGGTGCCTCCCGCAAGGCATTATGGCGGCGCTCACATTAAGAAGGTTAATACTGCCATATTTTCTAGTCTTGCCTCATAATCTGGCTCTCACTTCTTCTAATTCGGATTTTCTAATGTTCTTCAAAAAGCCACAGGTTATTCGTTCTTGTAAAAGAATTGACAGGCGGGCTAGTAGATAATTAATAGTCTTTCAAGGAACTGGGAGTGCGGGAACAGACAACTGTTGAAGGAAGAATCACAGAACATGAGTGCTTTTTATCAACCAGTTTTATTGCACTTTAGAAGAACACATTTACAGTATATGAAAAATGTGCACGTTTCTTAAACATTTAGTAAAACCAGTTGCTAGTGAGTGCTCGTTTTGCATGGTTCTTTCCTGTTCGTTGTCTGTTCCTGCTTTTCCAGTTTGTTGAGCGGACATTTGTTATGTGTGATACTTACCTTCCCAGCTCCTTCTTTCCATGTAAAAAAAACAGTAGCTTTCCATTCACCATTTACACAATGCCAGTCATTTTATCTTTGTTGTGTCTGCGAAACTCTTTGGATTGGTTTCGTTTTCATTGACAGATACTCTGGTAAGGACTACCTTACTGTCGAAGACCTCCAGTTTTTTCTTGAAGGGGAGCAGGAGGTGAGTGCTGAAATATTGTCCAAATCTGAGCTTCAAATCTGAGCTAATTGATCAAGGTCCAGTTCTTTGAAATACACCCGAAAACACACACATGCACACATTTGTTGCTCATAACACAGTAGCTTTGATAGAACTGAATCTTAGGAGGTGTTCTCAAAGCTACTTTACTTACAAAAAGTCTCCTTTTAGCGTGTCAGTGGTATGCTTATCTGCATCACGAAGTCTTCTTGCAGGCATCCACTGAGTTGGGTAGGGTATAAAAATGCAAAAACCTTCAAGTGGGTGTGGCAATGATGCTCTTCAGTTGGATGCCTTTTGAACAATCACTACAAATACAGATTATTATAGAAGGAACATTTTAATATAATGAAATAAAAGGTTGGCATGGCTTTTTCAGGGATGCAAATGATGATTCTTGCATAAAAGATTAAAAGAAAGCCGATGCTGATTCTTACTTGTGGGAACTGAAATTTGTTCGCAATATCTGTTTGTGCTTCATTTGTTGACAATGATAGACCTTGGGTGTTGTTGATTGTAATTTGGGCATTAATCAAAAGGTGCCTGACAGGTTATTGTTTGCTTTACTTCATTGCTTGGTGTTGGGTATGTCCTTAGCCTGTTTCATAGATCAGAAAAAAAATCTCACTAGTTCATGGAGTGAATGATGATGAGTGGGGCGAAGCATCGGTCCATCCGTCCCTCCATACATGCGTCCGTTTATCCCTCCATGCTTCCATCCGGAAGCGTGGATGGACGGATGGACACACAGGTGGATGGGCACACGATGGAGGCATGGACGGACGGACGAAAGCACAGACAGACACAATTCTATTGCACACACTTCTATTGGACCATCGCCGTCTAATATACTGTTCGAGAGATACTACCGGTTATGCCTGACGCAGAACAAGTTAGACTAAGAGGAGCTTTGCGCCTAATAAAACTTGAGACCGTCTACACAAGAAGATGCCACCGTGGCTTGGTGTAGTAGCATAGCCAAGAGGGGGCACACCACTGGCTTAGTGGCTGCAAGCTACCTCTGACAACCACATTTGGAAAGGGGCAAAATACCAAAATGTCTATGCACCAGATTTGTACGAATAGTAAATTTTAGGTTCGAAGTTGATTCAAAGTGAATATTGATTTTGTCTGATAGTTTTGCATTGAATTTGAATAGTATATATCACATATTACAAAGGAAAATGGGCATATTTTTCGTGACCAAAATAGCCTACACAGTATTATTTTCTAAATTGAAACGAAGCATTTGCAAATGTCATTCTAGTTCAAAGGGAAGTGGAAGCAATTTTCAATAGCAGCTCGATTTGACTTTAGATAGAATACAAGTGATAATTTGTCAAATATTTAAAATTTAATATACTTTGAGCGTGTAAGCTGGTATAACAAGCTTTCAAACTTAAAAAATAAAGAATTTATGTGAGGGCGATATGGTCCTTTAACCTTGAAGTAGGGCTTCGTGGCAGTACAAATTTTTCCTGAACACATGTATTAACAGTGTAGTACCTATCAACTGCAGTGAAAGAACCTTCACAGGGGACTACATGCAGTTTATGTACGGTTATTCGTTCATTTCGAATCTTTTTCAAAGTGTATTCAAATACTGTAATAGTACTATTGGTTAGAATATTCAAATTTTTTGAGTATTTGCACAAGCCTACAATGCACCTATGTTAAAGATGATAAGTCATGGATTTTCAGAACTGTTTGTAGTTCTCTGCAACAGTGCCTGTGATCGCTGCTCAGTTGCTTTGGAAAAGTAAGCCCTGTGGTTAAATTTTTCAGTCTATGCAGAACATACGTAAAGTCGGTTGTTTTTCTCTTCTTCGAGCAGTTTGAGAACGTCACTGTTGATGATTGCCTGAGGCTAATACAACGATACGAGCCTTCAGAAGAAGCCAAGAAAAACAAGCAGATGCTCTTGGATGGTGAGTTTTCTTTTTTGAGAATGTTGTGACCATATTCTGGTAAGAAGTTATTAGACTTTTAACGATTCAGCTCGTACCTTTGCTGGGCAGGGTTTACGCTCTTTCTGCTGTCAGATGAGTGCAGCCTAATGGACCAGGCACACAAGAAGGTATTTCAGGATATGAGCCAGCCCCTCTGCCACTACTTCATATCATCATCCCACAACACGTGAGCGAACTTTCCACTTTTGCTGTAGTTCATTTTGTATTTGCCAGGCTGTACAACAGAAGTTAAGTGATTGATGTGGTCATAAACGTTGGTCTTGAAAGAGCCTTGCAACACTTCTTTGAACATGGGCAGAAGATGCTACTGCTTAGTAGTCAAGGCTTCTCTGAACATGTCAGCCTAATGTTATAGTGCAGCACAGAGCAAGGAATTAGCAGTTTAGTTTCAAAGTCGGCTAGAAATTGTTCTCTCTCCTCTTGAGAAATGGTCTGCCGTGCTGGCGCAGTGGTTATAGTGCTTGGCTGCCGACTCGAAGGTCGCGGGTTCAGCCCCGTCTGTGGCAGTCACATTTCAATAGAGGCCAAACGCCACAGGCCCATGGACTGTATGATGTCAGTTGGTCAAAATTTTAAGAGCCCTCCACTATGATGGCTGTCATAATCATGTGGATGTTTTGGGATGTAAAACCCAACATTTCTTTATTACTATTATTCTTGACAAATCATGCATTAAACCCAATTCTATTGCATCACATGCACAAGGACACGATCATTGGCTCATTGGAGCATTGCACCATGGCCACCGCGGCCCCCTGCGCAGTGTTTGAGGTTGCTACCATGGCCACCGCGGCACCCTGCGCTGCGCTCACGTTCTGCTTTATTGGGCTAGAATGACACACAGTATATGATTATTCCGGTCTGCTTGTGATGACAATGAAAGTGAGCTATCTTGTCAGCTGCCATCATAGTATTCACTTTTTCCTGCAGCTACCTTATGGAAGATCAACTAAAAGGACCTTCAAGCATAGATGGCTACACTCAGGCCCTCAGCCAGGGATGTCGAGTAGTCAAAGGTGTGTAGCCAGTACATATTCTTCTCTAGCAGCACTTTAGAGCATCCCAGTTTTGTATTGGTTTCACTTCCATCCTAATTGAGTTTGCTGCTAATTAGCAAAATTTTTTCTTGAAAATGCCTTAATTGAATTTCTTTATAGCTTCAGATGACCTACTTGAATCATTCTGATTTATAGCTTCCTTTACTAAGTTCGCTTCTTGTGTCACCCATCACATCATGTTGCTCCAATGTACTGTACTCACAGATCAGAACGTGAAACCAAGGTTTTAGTATAATGACTGGTGTGCATAATTATTTGAGATAACCAGGTCTTATTGTGATGAATGAGGTCCCCAAAGATAATTTTGGTTCTGGTATACACGTTCAAGATGAAGTTAGGATCATATGACCTAAACTAAAGATGGTGGAAAGGAAAGTATGTGTGTTACTTAGCCCTGAATTATCCTGTGTCAATCCATGAGTAATGTACCTTCATAAACTTGTTTTTCACCAAGCAAGCTACCCAAATTTATTTCTTCCCTTTGACCTTTATTAGAATTGAGGGAACTTGCACTTGCTGATGTACATATTAGAATACTGTTTTCTTTCTCTTATAATATTCTTGTGTGTCTTTTTAATTAACATTGCATTGTATGCACTGTAGCTTCACGTTTTAATGCGATAGTGTTAAAGAGCTCATTTTATGAAAATTCCGCCGTCAGTGTCAGCGTTGGCATCCTTGGTTGTGAGTGAAAAATAATTCTGTCCATGACTGAGAAATAGAGGAAGATGCAAATAAAGTAAATAATAAAAGTTTCCAGGTTCAAGTGAACATTGAACACAGGCCGTCTGCATAGCAAGCAGGTGTTCCACTGCCGAGCCACAAGATTTGTTGAAGCTGTTTTGAAAAAAGCACTATGTGAATGTCATGTAGGGGAAAGAGTCTCCTTAATGCATCATATGTTGCATTGCACAAGCATAGAATTGCATCAGGCATCGAAAAATGTGAAATAAGCTAGGAGTGGGTGATCTGAAGGCCCACCCATTACGAAATGCTCAAACATATTTAATTATCAGCAGCAGCAGAGCTATCAACAAACTGAATAGCTGCTCTGGTTTGCTTGTTCCCCTATGGACCTGTAGCAGGCACTTTGCTGACTTGTAAAAAGAATGGTGATGGCGTAGTGAGCACTTGACAACTGTGCTTGCAAGAGGCATTCAATAATACTTCTGTGAAATGACTTATGTTACACACACAGTCGTTCGTTTTTTTATGGCACAGTTGAGGCATGCATTGAGAACACAAGTAGGTAAGTTCAGAAGGCAATGTGCACAAGGCCCGATTATGCTATAGCTTTTACAAAACTGAGGGGCACTGGCTGACTTTATGAGGAGACTGCACATGCATGTTTGTAACCACTTCAGTGGCCGGGTGGACAACTGTGTGCATAAATTACGCTGGCGCATTACGCACCGCATGTCTCTTTAACTTGTTCGAGACACAGTGTGCACATTCTTCCTAAGTGGACAACTAGTGGTCACTCAACTTCATTGTGCTGGGTATGGCTGTAGAGGATCACATGTACGACGATTGTTCAACGTGCTGCGTTATAGGACCAATGTCAAGAGTATTTAATTTTTATTTGCTAGAAATGAATGCAACCTAAAAACAAACTGTGCATGCATTTAGGGTGTCATGTTTGATTCTTTTAATTCAGTGATTGAAGTGAATTGATTGCGTAATAGTTAGATAATTAGTTACTTGGTAATTAACAATAATTAGTAAAATTAAACCAAAACAGAACATTCCACAGTTTTTTTTTCTTGGAATGTACTACTGACTGCCTTGAAATCACACCACGTGAATTTGATGCATTTACTGACAGCAGTGCATGATGACTTGTGCCTGAAGAGAATAAAAACAAAGGGACAGAGGTGGGCACAGTGATTTCAGTCCTCAGTTCAGTTGGGTGGAATGTTGCCCGACTAAATGTTAACCTTGTCAGTTTGTTTGATTCTTGTGCATCACAATGAGCGAGTGCCTTCTGCTACGCATTTTGCAGTGGACTGCTGGAGTAGCTCTGAAGGACCTGTGGTGTTCCATGGCAACACGTTAACAGGAAGAGTCCCTCTAAGTGCAGTGCTGGACACCATCCGAGAGCATGCTTTTCAGGCTTCCGAGTGGGTATTCATTCAAAAAAGTCACGGAAGCTTTTGTATTACTAGCGAACGCGCACAAGGACATCAGAGAAAGAGACACGAGCGGCAGTCCTGTCTCTTTCAGTAGTGGTTGTCGTATACTTCTCTCTGGTGTGCTCATATGTATTCGCTAGTAATATGAAAGCATTCAGTCAATACCAAATACCCCCTGGCGAATGCTTGAAAAAGTGAGGAAGCTTGCTTTGAGGGCACGTTTTTATTTTATTTATTTGAATATACTGCAGCCCTAATGCAGGGCTATAGCAGGAGTGGATGAGTTATACAAAACTAATACAAACAGAGCAACAACAATAAAACTGAAATGCATTACAGCAATACATAAAAAAACATCACTATGGTATTGCAAACACAATCTTTACCTATTTTTTAAATGGCCATTGCGGCATCAATGAAATTTTGTAATAATAGTGAACAAATACTGCCCGGTAGGGAATTCCAGAGGTCCATATTACGTGAGAAAAAACTAAATTTGAATGTGTTAGTTTGAGCAAATAAAGGCTTTATGTTCAAGATATGGGAGCTGCGGGTGCAAGATTCTTCCATAAATGCGATGTAGTTACCACCAAAGATGCCAGGAGAGGAGTTGATGACTGTATCTAATAGTTTTAAAGATTCGATGCAGTAACGAGAATGTAATGGTACAATGTTCAGTGATTGCAGAGCCTGTGTTGGTGAGAAGTTGTGGCTGTAGTTAGGGCATATGAAGTGGATGCCCTTACGTTGAACGCTATCAAGGATTTTTAAGTCACCTTATTTGTGAGGGCACTAAACGACAGATGCGTATTCTAGAATAGGGCTAATCAACGTTTTATACAGAAGTAATTTGGTATCACGGGGGGATTTAGCCAAAGCATGGCCGAAATAACCTATCTTTTTTAGAGCTTTCGCACCGATATATTCAATATGGTTGTTCCAGGAAAGATTTTTTGTCAGAATCACACCCAAATATTTATATTGTGAGACTCTTTTAAGTTGTATACTATCCTAGTAGTAATCAAACGAAAAAGGATTCTGTGCATTGGTAAATGACATGACTGTTTTAATACAATTGACGTTCATCTGCCATGTTTCACACCAAGAGCTGAAATAAATGAGTGATTGTGAAAGACGGTGATGATGTTCTGCAGAATTAATGGGTTCGTATAATATGCAATCATCAGCATAAAGTCTTATTTTAGATGAAGTGCAGTGAGGTAAATCATTAATATATATGAGGAATAATAATAGGCCTAGTACAGATCCTTGAGGAACACCTGACATGACGTCAACAAGGGATGAATCCACCGAGTTGAAGGAAACAAACTGTGAGCGATAATGAAAGAAACTGGAGATCCAAGGAACAAGACTGGAATTATTGAGTATGGCATCTGATTTTACAAGCAACTTAGAATGAAGAACAGAGTTGAAAGCTTTAGAGAAGTCAATAAAAATGGCATCTATTTGATTTTCCATGTCTAGGTTAAAGGCGACGTCACGAACAAAATTGACTAATTGTGTAACCGTGCTGTAGCCACGACGAAAATCGTGCTGAGCAGTTGTTAGAATTTCATTGGAGTCGAAGAATTCAGTGATATGCTTGTGAATAATGTGTTCCAACATCTTGCATGACTGTGGTGTAAGAGATATTGGCCTGTAATTAGATAAGAGTTGTTTATCACCAGATTTATACAAAGGCAAAACTTTTTCTGTTTTCCATGAAGATGGTACTTCACCACTTTCTAGGGATTTCTGGAAAATTACAGTGATGTAACGAGCTGTCCATGCGGAGTATCTCACAAGAAAGGAATTTGGCGCATCATTATCACGCCACGTTAATGAAAACCATCACATAATGAAGCCAAGGAAGGTATAGGAAACATTGGCTGCACTTTTTAGTGTATTGTAGTAATTGTGATATAGATGGAAAGAAATTAAAAGGATGAGAAGTCAGCCCGTTGCCAGCAGAGCTCGAACCTGCAACTTTCGGATTACGAGCATGATGCTCTTACCATTTCAGCCTTGGCAACAGTCATCCTTTGTCCACTGTATCGAGTATTTATGGTATGCAAACAGGGTGTCTTTCTTTTTGTCAACATTACAATTACTGCAATACTCTTGGAACAGTACAAGTAACAACTTCTATACCTTCCTAGGTTTCATTGTCTACTGGTTTCAATTGGGTTTTTGAAGCAGTGTCCCTTATCTACTGTTGGAGCTAGTACATTCAAAACACAAGGAAAAAGTCCTGACAACAGGACAGACGACATGTCTTTTTTTCCTTGAAGCTTCAAGTTTACTGTATGGTCTGCAAGAACTAGCCCATTTTCATGCTTTGCTCTTAGAAACTGAATTGAGGACTTTGCTCTATTGAAGCATCGATAGTTTAAAACAGTGGGAAGTAGACACAGACAAGAATGCACGTAGGACCAGTGCTGACTGCCAACTGGTTTGTGTATTCAAAAGGGTGCACACACACACTGAAATAGAAAACTCTGGGAGGAAAACATATTGAACGTTCTGGCGGTGCCTGAATCCAGTGGTACATTATTCTTCATTCATAAGACATTAGTTAGATTAACCGAGGGTGCACTAACACATGTTTCATCTGTATACGAGATTCCGAGAACTTATGAGAGTAACTATCTCAGGCAGACAAGCTTTTGCCCTAACGACAGTGTGCGCGAACACGCCAACAACCTCAAGGCAAAAACTGGCAGTGATTCAGCCATTCAGTATGCTAAGTGTGGCTACCTGCCACGTTTTTGGGAGACACTGCTGCTGCACACATGCAAAGAACAGACTGCACGGGAAGTTTATGAGGCTTTCACGATACTCTTACAGGCAAAGAGTGTAGCTGTCTTTGAAACTACTAATCCCTTATGACTAAACAATAATGTGCTGCTGGCTCCGCCGCGGTGGTCTAGTTGCTAAGGTACTCGGCTGCTGACCCCCAGGTTGTGGTATTGAATCCCGGCTGCGGCGGCTGCATTTTTGAGGGAGGCGAAAATGCTGTAGGCCCATGTGCTCAATTTGGGGTGCACGCTAAAGAACCCCAGAGGGTCGAAATTTCCAGAGCTCTCCACTACAGCGTCTCTCATAACCTTATGGTGGTTTTGTGACATTGAACCCCTCATATAAATCAATAATGTGCCGCTGGATGCAAGCACCGCTAGAAGATTTGATATTTATCCCTTCCCGAGTTTTTTCTGTTTCAGTTTATGTGTGTGTGGAACCCATTAAGTACACCAAGCAGTTGGCAATCAGCTTTGGTCCTGTGTGCATTCTTGTCCGTGTCTATTTCGGGCTGTTTTATACTATGGGTATGTTGGCTGGCATCCATTTTTTTTTTTTTAGTTATCTTGCACAATATATGCACTCAGGGAAAAAAAAAAAAAGAAAGGCATCGTACCATTTGTCATTCCAGCAAGATTCTTTTAAGTTTTAATACATTCACAAGCTGATACTATTCACAAGCTGGTACATATACATTTGTATTCCTCGGTTTTTTTAAATTCATGATTTTATAAAAATTCATACTCATCTTGTGTTCTTCCTATGTGGGGTCAGTGCTTTGTTCTTCATTGAACCCGTGGCCATGCCTTTACAGCTACCCGCTAATTCTCCATCTTGAGAACCACTGCTCCTCACCGGAAGCTCAAGAAGAACTCGTTGCCTTGCTCATCGAGAAGCTGGGCAACCTGCTGTACATCCCTGGCAGAGATGGAGAGGAGTTCACCACCAAGTTGTCACCTCAATCCTTAAAAAGGAAGATCATTATAAAGGTATATATAGATCTTTGGGTGTGCTCTTGAAGGTCCTTTATCGGATGTAAATAACTTCCTGTATTTACTCCCGTTGTCATTTTGTAGGCATAAGTGTGTGCATTGCAGAGTTGCCAGTTTCACTTTTAATAAGTGCATTTGAGCTTGAAGGTCAATTGTGTGTGCAAAAAAAAAGAAAGAAAGAGAAAAAGACAGCAACAAAAAAAAAATGGAGAGGCACAAGATTGAAGCATCTGTCTTTTTTTTTTTTTTTTTGCTGAGTTGCTTGTAGAATTTTCCATTCACTTATCACATTTTTTGGGCTCATTTGCATTTTTTGCAAATATAGCTATTTTAAAGATCATCACGTTAACCAATAGCGCGTTTGTCGATGACCTTGAGTAGTCAAGTGTTGAAGTCAAGTTTACTTTGGGGGAATCAGCAATTAATGTTAGTTATGCTCTGGCAATGTGCGTTCTACCAAATGGGGAGGCTTCACTGGAGATAATGTTAACAAGTAGATAAGTGCTTTCGTTCAATGTTGCACTTATGTTTGCAGCAAAAAATAATGAAAGTTATTTGTACAACTTTCCTTCGCATTAGCGTGACATTTTTCTAATAATTAAAAATGTTTTCAGGATGGGGAAAAATTATTAAATTTCCACTACATTCAGCTTTCTCGAGGCAGTTGCACTGCTCGTTTTGGTCGTGTTTTGCGATGATTATTTGCTTGTTAGCTGGGTAGCATCTGGCAACTTTGGTGCAGGGGCCCCATTGTTTTCTTTACCGGGATAGGGGGAATTAGGGGAAGGGAGAATGTCAATTCCGATTACAAAAGGAGCCGTTGTATGTTGCGCTAGTACGAAACTGATGTAGTTTCTCTAATGAAATGAAATTATAACAGGTTCGTTTTAGGGGCGAAACTCCTTAAGGCGGGGGTTTGTTCATCCTCTGCTGTCGTACATAGCCACCGATGGCACATACCCACTCTAGAGTGGGTATGTGCCACAGGGGATGCGAGATGAGTGGTGGGGGTACTTGGAGTGTTCACTAGAAGGACACATGGACAGGCACTGGACAGACAGACAGACAGACGGACTAGCAGACCAACGGACTGATGGATGGACGCGCGGAGCGGGTATGTGCCACAGGGGATGCGAGATGACGGTACTTGGAGTGTTCACAAGATGGAAGCACGGACAGACGGATGGACAGACACAGACTAGCAGATGGATGGACGTGGGGACATACGGACGGAGGGGCCCACGAACAGACGGACGGATGCATGGATGGACACACAGATGGTCGCGCGGATGGACGGAAGCATGGACGGGCTGACGGATGCTTCGCCCTACTCATCATCATTCACTCCGTGGATATGCTGTGATTTTTTTTCGCATTGCCACTTGAACAATGATACAAGTGCATTTTGCAGTTTCAGTTGAAACGATGAAAAAGACATGCTTAACTTGGGTCACAAGACCCCAGCGAGTTTGTTCCTATATCTTCGGTGGGTTTCTATGAATAGGTATTTCGTAGAGGCCAGCATTTGCACTCAACCCGAGGTATGACGAACCTGGATATACAGTCGAACCTCTTTGTAAGAGACACTGATATGAGAAATGAAGGGGTATGGATACACCAGTATGGCTGCAGCAAAATACGGTGCATAGGAAAATGCATACGAGGTTCGTTGCTTATAACAGACATCTCGAATAAAAGACAAGAATTGCTGCCAGGAGCATGCCTCTCTTAAAGGGGTTTAACTGTAACGAAATATGGGTTATAACAAAGTAAATGAAAAATAGTCTTGCAATAAATACAGGGTTAGGAATAAACCTTTATAACAAATTTCTGGATATAACAAACTTATTTTCATGTAAGATGCAACTTTGTTATAATGAGGTATGAGTGTATGCCGCTTCAAAGCATCCGTGGGGCCAAAAGAGGAGCATACCCACTGTTTCACTGAGTGTTGATGTGTTGTTTGAAAAGGTGGTCAGGAAGCCCTTATTATTGGGGCAACAAAAACTTCGTTTGGATTAGTCAGGTGTTTGCTGCGCACGTATTTGGCTTGATAACATCAAAGCAGACTACATGGTGCACTCTGAGTAGTGAATGTTTCCATCTGTTTATCTACCTGCTTAGTGCTTTTATCTTGCTGCTCTTGGTGGTCAAAAGTTAAATTCTCATTCTTGGTTGTCAGCGACAATTTACTTTTTATATTGTATTTCAGAAATTCCTGCTTATTGGAAAAGTCATGCTCACTTTCCTATACAACAGAAAACATTTGCACAACTACTGACTGGTCTTCACACTTTGATGTATCGATATATGGCTCTGTACTCTACAGTTGGTATAGAGGCACAAGCAGTGCCCAGAGGACATACTTACAGATGTAACTGCCCATGTCACTGCACCATGTAGAAGTTGCCAGCAAATTGAAACGTTGTGATTATGCTCAAACATTTCAAAGTGAGCTTTACAGGCAACATTATGTTCATGCTGTTGGCTAATGTTTCTAAACTTTCAGAGTAAGAAGCTTCCCAAAGATTCCGAGGAGGCAGAAATATCTGAAGAGGATGATTTCGTTGACAAAAACAGCAATAGCTCAGTGAGTATCATGAACAGTAGTGTGTCAGCATCACCTGTACTAGTTTACTATAAAATCCCGAGCAAGTGCCCCCCCTCCCTTTTCACGAGGTTTTAAATGTTCAACGTGACTGAGCAAACCCTCACCCCCCTGTTACCTCCCACCATTTTCACTATTTTTATTCGCACCTAGATGGCAAATCAAAACATTTATTGAGTGGGTATTCATGAGATTGCGTGGGTTTGGGAATGTTGGTATTTTATTGCAGTTTCTAGCGGATACACGAGACAAAGACAGCTAACATCGACGAATACAGGCGCTTGCATTCATCGGTGTTACTTGTTTTTGTCTCGTGTATGCTATAGAAACTACACTGCAGTGCATATTCAATAAAGAATTTTATTAGAATTTCAGGTGCACATTCTTTGTACTTAGCTGCTATTCCACCACCACCTTGAATTTTGATCTGCAACCAAGCAAGGACCTCTCCTCCAAATCTTGTCGGATTATATTTCACCAAGGGGGAGGGGGTGTGTTTGCTTGGGATTTTACAGCAATCATTGCTCCAAGGATTCTGTCGCTATGCTGGCCTTATATGTAAGACTGAGTACAGATTGTGGGATCATTGATCGTGACGCGAGCAAAATGTGAGTGATGCATATCCTGCTTTACACACTGCCAGGAATCCCCCAAGAAGTTGAAGCTCATCAAGCCCCTATCTGATTTGGTGGTGCTGTCAAGAATCCACTTCACTGATTTTGTAACTTCACAGCAATCTCGTAAGTGAACTCTTCTCATTAATTGGAAACCTATGCTGCCTTCATGGAGCGAAGGCTGAAAGGAAATGGTGTGCTAATATTTTGCATCCCATGTGAATAAATGTAAAATTCAGCGTAAATGCTGCAAAAAATGGCAGCGCAACTAAAAAGTCTTTTTACCTGTAGAGTAACCCTGAGACTATAATTTGCCTCGAAGAGCAAGTCTGGCTATGTTAAGGTATATGTCTTGTTAAGTTCTACGAGAAACTACACAGTAGATTGTCAATGGTGCCAAAGTGAACCATACATGACTGTCATATAAACAGTTGTGCCTTATGCACATCAACTCAGATCGCCTGCCAGGTATAGGCCTTTTGTTAAGAGACGTAGTGTTCAGTTAGTTGCTTGCTACCTTTCAGAGGCCGAAAATGAGGTGTGTACATTCAGCGAGACATCTGCTCTCAAGTTGGGTCATGCCTTGGCCGATGAAGTGGCAGCTCACACTCGGCACTTCCTGGCTCATGTGTCACCAACAGCCAGTCGGGTTGACTCGAGCAACTACAATCCTCTAGAACTGTGGGCATGTGGCTTTCAAATGGGTAAGTTCTTCAGCGCTTAAAGGGCCAGTAAACAAACTCACGGTCAAAAACTTCTAATGGAGAAATAACTGCACACTTGTTAAATGTGAACATGCTGCCTTAACATTTTGAATAAGTGCTGTGATGAGGAAGAGACAGAGTATAGAACAACCTGCTTTGGCTGGTTTTTGTATCTTGCTTGTCCTTCACATCCTTTTCTCTCAGTGGAGAGGTGTAGACGTAACCCTTTGTCTCGTCGTCAGCGTGACACGACGCCAGTGATACGTCATATGCGTGTATGCAACGACCGAGCAAGACTTCTCTTATGTGTGCACAGGGGATACAGCGCAGTGCATTGCAAACAGTATGAAACACTGGGAAGGTGTGCATCTTTCCCCCGTGATATAGTAGAGAGATGCCTCTTCATCTTGAAGGCTTGCATTCTGGCTTGTCCTGGTAGACTCGGGCCCTAAAAAATGGCAGAGGGCAGCACAGGAAAATCGAAGTGCAGACTGCACTGCCAAAACTGCATCGCCACAGGACCAAGGCACCGTTTCATAGTGCAAAGGACCAATCAACAAGCTAATTGGTACGTCAAGTTGCCCATGGGCACCATATGGTCACGGCATGTACGAGTAGATTTACCAACTCTACAATGTAAGAAGCCGGGATGGGGGGGGGGGGGGGGTGTACACTGACATAGGAAGATACCAGACAAATCCAACGTTCTGTTATTGTTGAGTGCTCTTGAGGTGGTACCTCAGTTAACATTGTGCAGCTCGTAGTAATTGGTCTTGTTGGAGAATGTACTTGTAGAAGTCGCTCTTCACTTGGAAGTTCAGCTACAGTGGCTAAAGCTCATCGCAGCCTCCTGTAGTCACCACAGCCACAACATTGCTTTGTGCGTGCGATTTCTGTGAACTTTGCTTTGTTTAGCACCCTGTGGACCACAAAAATTTAACTGGGTGGTCTGAAACAATTATGGGACCTATAGAGACAGTTTCCTGCAGTGGCGAATGGGTGCTACCACGTTTGAACACGTGACCTAATGGCCTTCCCATTCAGCATCGCCAACGGCCAGCCGATTCGCCGCTCCCGCTCCCGGGAAGGCCACCAAAATGGGCACAGCGATTTATGTCTATATGTTTCGGTCACATTTTTAGGGGCGAAGCTCCTTAAAGCGGCACCCGTTCGTCCCTTGTAGTAGTGCGTAACATGTCTTACGCTTTGACCTGCAAGGTGGTGCCGGTGGGAGATTTCTCCTGTACATTGTTGAACAATAAAAAATTCGCAGCATGTGCGTTAACTAAAAGCCGAATTCTCCTGTCTCTCATTCCCAATTAGCAGCCATTGGCATGTACATTGAGCACTATCTGACAAAAAAGGGTTGCTACGTTATACTCGCTGGGCGTAACCTCCTTGGTTTTAGAAGGGTTTGGCGAGCATTGGGCCGCAGTGCCATGAATACAGTGAACTAGCATATGCCATGAACTCGAGATGTTTAAAGGTGGGAAGTAGACACGAAGCGCAAGCCGTAAGAAAGTGTGCGTGTGCCACCTCTCGTTTAGTCCTTGGAATGTCCGCTGAATGGTGGTGCTTCTATATGTGGAATACATGATGAAAAGATGCGAGATGGTAGTACTTGGAATGTTGACCAGATGAACGAACGGACACACAGATAGACGGACGCACGGATGGCTGCATGGACGGATGGACGCATAGACGGACGCAGGGGCGGATGCATGGACAAACGCAGGTACGGACACACGGATGGACGTGTGGACGCACAAGCAGACGCACGCACGGACGGGCGGATGGACGCATGGACGGACAGAAGCTAGAACGAATGGACAGACGGATGCTTCGCCCCACTCTCCATCATTCACCCCGTGGATATGCTGCCATTTTTTTGCACCGGACGACAGCACAAGCTTTTCTGTTACGTCTCACTATTGTTCAGCATAGTCTCGCATCGTCGCCCGGCAGCGCACCGGGCTCGGCAAACTGCTAACGAGACATATTTTCTTGCAACGCTCGCCCGCATCTGCGCAGCCCGCTTTCAACCGTTGGCTGCAGGGATAAATGGATAGATTCCATGTCTCCACCTCTTTATAAAGGGGTGGAGACATCTGTGCCACTATGCTCGCAAGAAAAAAATAAAAAGAAGACTTTCTGTTTAGGGCAACGGCTGCCACACGTCACTTCGCAGCCGCGGCGGAAAAGAGAAGGTCATGGTGTGTCGGTGTGGTGGCGCCATCTAGCTTTGCTTAGACAAACAAGCTGCGGAAAAACGTCTATAGCTATTTTTAGAGAGACGGTGCTAAACTTGGGACACTGTATGAAAAGCTGAGACAGTCCCACAAAATCCGGGATAGTTGGTAGCCTTACGTACAAGGAGGATTGGACAGGTATTGAAAAGAAACGCAGGAATTGTTTTTCGAAATTGAGGGTGTGTGCAGCGTTCAGCACTGTAATATTCGCAAAATGTGATGCTGCAGTCTGCTGCATGAATCAGCGAGCTTGTTTGGGGGGTGTAAAAAAAAAATGTGGAGCCTGTTTAGTGCCAACGTGACTGAAAATTTTTTCGCTCGCTTCATAGCGTTTTTTTTATAATACACTGCCATTAATTCAATGAAGTTTTTCATTTTTTTTATTTGTGCAAAAAATTACTGCTTGTGAAGTATCAGGCGTGACAATGCGATCAAAGTCAAGACACAGGAAAAAAGAGGAGGAATAAGCTCTTGAAAAAACACAAACAAAAGGGGCCATCTTGCTTCGAAAAACACAACCACAGTAGACTCTCGTTTATTCAAACTCGAAGGAACGTCTTAATTTTGTTTGAATTATCAAGAAGTTTGAATTATCAGAAGTCCTCAGATATATGACTGTGGGTGAAGTGACAGCACACATTATGGTTAGGCATTGATTTCATCAGATTTAATTTGTAAGTGATTGTAAAACCTAAGTGCACGCAATGAACAGAAAGCAGAGGTGTAAGCTCCGTAAGTTTATTAACCATTTACTGCTGATCAGACCTTTTAAAGAAATCGTTAAATGCCAACTGCTTCTTTGTGATACAGTACACTCCCATTGAATGAAACCCTCTTAAATGCAATGGCTGCTTAAATGGAACAACAGCCTCCAATATGATTGGTTTCTTACTCAATTCTGTGCTGCTGTTTATCTCTCAATAAACAAAACTACTTTTAAATGGAACTCGTATTCCAGGTCCTTTCAGGTTTTGTTTAACAGAAGTCTACTGTATGTGCCTTCAGCGCAAAGCTCTCCATACCAATCGAGAAGCATTATGGTTTACCATGCATGTGCGTCATTTTTTTACTAGCAAAGCCTTTTTCCTTGAAGGCCTGAGCGCTTATTTTTCATTTTAGACTGTCAGGATTACTTAAGCACGCAAATTTTTAAATAGTAGTGGGTAAGAAGCAGATTTTTCATGGTATGGAACCGCAAATAGTATGAATAAACCGAATGATGGAGATTGAATTAAGAAGCTTTTAAATAGATTGAAATAATAGAGGGCTAACCAAAAAATTGAATTTTGTTTGAATTAACCAAAAGTATGAATTATCAGAGTTTGAATTATCGCAAGGCTCCTGTACAGCCTATAGGTAGTCTTAATTGCTTCCACATGGGACAAATTTTTGTTTATGAAGAGTAGAGTTGTCATTGGTCCTATTGTTAGAAAAAAATCTCACGATGACTGCAGTAGTCAGGAGTCGCGAGAGGGTTAATGCCAAATTTATGTTGCATGAACCATGGCATTAGAATCCCTCTTGCCTTGGAGTTACATCTGTGATAAAATGCAGAGGCTTAGTGTGGAACAGTGCTATAAGGGGTGGACATGAAGATGGAAGGTGTAATCTTAAGATAATTCATGCTAACCACAACTGAAACTATGAGAAGTGAATGTGAACACAAGTTATGGTGCATAGAACAGGTAGCTATTTGTTTATCATAAAAGCAGTGTGGGCAGGTAGTGGGCACCTCAGAATCTAGGAGCACACTCGGCACCGTGGTTCCGGACCCTCTGGTCAGAAAGTGAACTGTTGACGTGAGATATGTAGAAGACAATTTTACCGAAAGCTTGGAAACCTTCTGTATGTTACTTGGAGTGCCAGTGATGGCCTACTTGTAGAATTAGGTAGTGTAAAGGCGGTTACTGAATGCTGGCGTAAAGGTTAACCCACTGGCTCTAGTCATGGGCTCTGAGCGCAAGCGGCGTACACGAGCAATGTGTGGTGAGGACAGAGCCTCCAAAGAAGGCGTGGAATGATGCCCAACTATAGCATTACTCCTTGCTACAATTACCCACAGCCTGTCAGTGTATGCTAAAGAACACCACATGGTCAAAATTTCCGGAGCCCTTTACTATGGCCTCTTTCAAAATGATATCTTAGTTTTTGGATGTAAAATTCTGGATATTATTATTATTATTATTCCTACAATTACCCCCAGCAACGAAGAAGGAGCCATCTGGTGACCTAGCAGTTCATCACTATGAGTGGATCATAGTACAGCTTGAGAATACGCCCCTCTATAGCTTTACTCTTCGCTGCAATAGAGCAAAGATTATGGGGCAGTAATGCAATAAGCTACTGACATAAGTTCTATGTTGGTTCTGCTTACCATGTGGGTTTAATGGGGCAGAAGTTCAAGGGAAGACGCAAGCTTTGAAAACATGAAAAATTACTGAAGATGGGGTGTCACATGAGCCAATATTTTAACAAGCATACTTATTATTCAAGGCTGCAACTGCTTTCCTCAGTGTGTGTATGCATGCATGCACATATGTATGTATGTGTGTGTGCATATGAATGTGTGTAATCAATCCTTTGTTTGGGTGCGAAGCATATATATACAGTGCTAAAGAAAGCAGTTGTGCCGCCTTGAAGTACACAAGTCTGCTTGTGGAAACGTAGGCTCCAGCATGCAAGTTAAACGTCATACCGGTGCGTTGGACTAAATGTTCGGGCTGTACTCTGCTTCTGCAAGTCCAAAAACTGAAGCTGCTGGATTAGCAGCGATGTAAGAACACTTGTTGCTTCACATGTGTCCTTGAAATAAACTAGAAAGAGTGCGTGCAAGCAACTTCGACAAATCAGTTTTCTTCCGTGCAGCGGCCATGAATGTCCAGACATCCGGTGTCTCGATGGACCTGCACCGTGGATGGTTTCAACAAAATGGTGGCTCTGGCTATGTTCTCAAGCCTCCCTGCCTGCGCCAGCCATGGTCCGTGTTCAATGCCTACCGACGCGAAACATTCTCTGACAATGAACCACTTTACCTGCGAGTCAAGGTGTGTGCTAGAGTCTTTGAGTGGTAGGTGCTGTAGTAACTAGTGTTCAGTATAGTAGAGTAAAGTAGCTGAAAGAACAATTCAAAAGGTATTTATTGAACATTTGGGATGGCTTGTATAAATATGTCATGTTTACTTGTCGGCATGGTGCAAGCCGCAACCTCAGAGCAGGGCAAGATGTTTATAGATGTTGATGATCACAAATTGAATCACCAAGAATAATCAAAAGAAGATAAAAATATAGATGTTGATGATTTGAAAAAAACTTCATGGCACTTTATGAATAGTGCCACGAAGGGAAGAATTTATTTTGTACAATGCCTTGTTAAAGAGTAGCGACCTGAGCCAAGGGAAGCCACCGTTCAAAATTCTAAACAAAAACTTGACTGCCCCATTGCCTATTCTAGCATAGTATTTGTCTCATTTTTGGCCTGTTTGCTTGCTCTACTGTAGGTTATGTTGTATAATATGCCTGGTAGTATGCATTGTTGCCACAACATTGAAGGATGTTTCTCAGTGTTGCCGCAATGTTGTGTCAATATTTGGTGCCGCTAGGTGTACTAGATGTAAAAAAAAAGACAAGAGCCCTGCACTTGTTTTCTTTGATTAGGTAGCTCGAATTAGCTATTTAAATTGAAGGTGAGGAGAAGTATCAGTATAGAGTATCTTAAATAAGGTTAATTCGGCTTTTGTTTGATGGCAGGTTTAAGCTGACTTTGTAAGCAACTACTTCAAACTTTGAAACAGTCAAGTATGACGAGATGAGAGTTAACAAGAGTTGCATGTGTTGTCTTCCTTCTTGTGTCCTTGTGTCAAGTTCGCGCTGAAACCAATCCGTCACAATGGGATGGCATGGATGTGGATGAGAGCTTGATATTTCTTGCCTGTATTCGGAAACTTTTATTTTTGTTCATTGCATTGGGTCTTGTAGTGGAGACATGCTATGTGTTTTAATGTTGCAAGTGAAGGAGGCGTACATCTTTTGCTACTGCTGCAACAAGCAATTTTCAACTTTTGTCGAGGTGCGTGAATGGATCGCTCATCCCGTCTGGCGCAAAATATTTGAAAGTGCATAACGAACTTGCCCTAATACGACTTTGACGGAAGGGCATTGCTATTAATGAACCAGGCAAATGTATTCTGGATCATTGTCAAACAAAGTATGCATAATATAGGCATGGCTCAAGAAAAGCAAAGCAAGCATGAATGTTATAGCTCTCCTTTCAAGTCTGATGAGTCCTTTAGTTAAACTTTATAAGTGTCACAAAACAGAAGTGGTTTATTTAACATGTGCTTAGGCGTGTGTTGTCAGTCGAAACGTGTCATCTTTTGCATTCGAGATTCCGAAAGCACCTTAAGGGAGTGTGTATCTTCGGTTTAACGAGCTCACCTTTCAACATTGTCGTTCATGCAAAACAAATCGGCATGTCCATTATGCTCCCGAGTACACCCCATCCGGGCCCGCAACTGCCACGAAGTGTCGCCTCGCCGATTAAGGGCGGCTGATAACGGGCTGTACACAGACGTGGACCCGGCTGTACTGTTAGTGGCATAGAATCTTCTGAACTCAGTTTTCCCACTCTTCTTTGACAGATCATTAGTGGCCAGCAGCTGCCACTGCCCAGGGGTGCCTCAAGCAAAGCCACAGCCATCGACCCTTACGTGACAGTGCAGGTGTTTGGGATTCCCACGGACTGCGCTGAAGCACGTACAAAAACCGTTTCCAACGAAGGTCAGTGCAATTCTGACATCATTTTTACACAGATCGGTACTTCTCAAACTGTTATGTGTAGAATGTGAAGCAGTGGATAAACTACTTTTAAATCAGCAGTACCACTCGACTACCTTGTCATAATACCATTAGTATTGCTTTTATAGTTTTGAGGCCGTAAAAATTCCCAATAAATTTGTCTAATTTAGTATGTATAACAGCTATTTATTTATTTGTTTATTTATTTTTAACATACTTTTAACTCTTTGCATGGTTTTTAGAGGAGTGGTAAAAACAAATTCACATCAATCAATCATTTTATTTCCTTTTGATTAGGAGGAGTACAGGACTAAAAGCTCAAGAGCTTGACAAGGTCCTGACTCCGTTCACAAGTTGGCAGAGCAGCAGTAATGGCAGACAATCATGCATAACGAATATCAAATGAACTTATAGGTATCACATTACAAAAAGTAATACAAAAATTTAAGAAAAAAGGGCTGAAAATAAAAAGAGAATAATTGAAATGCATGGTCATGAAGTGGCATGAACATGAAATAGAAGGGAAAGACATCGGCAGTAACAATAAAATTTGGAAGGAGCAGCTTGGCCGAACAAGTTTAAATTCATTTATTTATTTGTTTACGGTACCTTACAGGGCCCTTGTGGGACTTTTGGTCAGTGTGAAGGTGAACAAAATGAAGGAGACTGCATGCACAAAATAAAGTAGTAGTGGATGCATTCATGTTAGACTATAGGTGAAAAAAAATAATAAACACCATAAATCGCATTTGTAACAGCTAGTGTAAATACAAATATTTGCAAGCAAAGATAGGACTGCTTTAGCACCGAGTTCTGTGTTTATAGTATTGCAAATTTCACAGTTATGATATGCATGCCTTGAGATTGTAATCTCCACCACTCTGTTTTTAAGTAAACTGATTACATGTTTTTGTAGGAGGATGTTGGTACTGTCAAGCTTGGTTTACAATCCTTGCCATCTTGTATTGCCCATCAGGTCATTCTCCAATTTTTGATGAGTGCTTCGAGTTCACTGTGGCTGCTCCAGAGCTCGCCGTTCTTCGGTTCGCCGTCCTAGATGACGAATTTATTGGTGACGACTTCATTGGCCAGCACTCAATACCAGTGTCAAGTTTGAAAACAGGTAGAGCTTATCAGTGCATCCTGCCTTCATAGTGCAATGTATACTGTGTTACTTTGAATTCTTGATGAGAATTAACGGACAGTGATGGCAAGGAAAGTATAGAGGAATGTTATAAGCAGTAATTGTAATGTAAATGCGAAGAAAGAGAACTGGACAAGAAGATGAGCTTGCTGCTGGCAGGGACTTAACCTGCAACCTTCCAATAAATGTGTCCGAGGCTGTGCCAACTGAGCTGTGGGTGCATTCATCTATCGGTCCACTTTATAAAGTAGATATGTGCATTCAAACATGGGAGCGTCAGTCACAGCCATTTCGGCGAGTGAGAGACAACCCCCCCTCTTATTTTTGCATGTTGGTGTCACGTAGCACAGGATCTTATTATGAGCTGGCGGCTGACTAATAGTTCCTTGCATACAACCTGAAGCATCAAGCCTACAAGAACGAGTTTTTCTAGAATTATCGCATATTTTCAGCTGCTTTTCCGTCTCCCCTAAATTGTTTTGTGGGGCAGCATTTCGTTTATGATTGACGCTTTTCCACCTACACTTGAGCTCTACCGAATGAGCACGTGCTAAAATGGATTGTTCACCAATCACACTTACTCGGAATGCCTCTCTAGCATTATGTAGCACATTTACTCGTGCAAGGCTGCGCTTATGTAAGGCCTACATGGCTAGTATGAAGTGCCAAATTATGTAGAAACTAACCAAGTACCACAACCATATTTTCTTTAGGTGAAAATGATGGTATACTCTCTATGGATGTGCCCAATTCACATAGCCTAATTAAAAAGCACTCAATATTACATTCCAAGCAAGAAAAATAAAGCAGTGCATTGTGTGTGTTTTTTTTGTCATTTATTGTAATTAAATGCTTAATTTTTTTCACGGTCAGTCATATTCTGTTCTGGCATGAAACGAATGAAATTATAGGCTCCAAATATGTGTGTGGTTGTACACATTGTGGAAAAAGATAAGCTGTACTTTTTACTTTGATCCTGAAGCGCAGCACGTCGAATTGCCTGTCAAACATTTGATCAATTACAGTCATATGCAGCACACTGAAGTCGAGTCAAGGCACACCGACTATAAAGAAGGTTCACTTCATCCGATGAGCAATGTTTCTTGCCACATGTTCACACTACTAGCATAAAAAGTAGTGTACACAAACATAGTCACTGCCGCTCAAGGCATTATAAATGATCTGGTTAGCTTCTGCCTTTCATATGCATTATTGCCAGTTAACATAAATATAAAATAAGGGAATGGGGAAATAAGGTGTGCGTTAATCATGTATTGTGCATAACTTTGAGCTAAGTGGTCATTCTGTTTATGATATCAAGACAGTGTGAACTCAAGACAGGTAATTCTTGTTATCCTCCACAAATTAATACTTGATTGCTCTAAATGTTGTTTTTTCCAAGGATAGTGAAATGGCAGTACTACTTGAATCAAACAACCCAGGAAGAGGGGAGGGGATGTTACTTAGTGCAAAATTCTTAAACACTATGTTAAATTCTAACAGCATGGCTATTCGTGGCTGAATCTATCGTATCTTCAGAGAATCATAGAATGTTTTGTATATACAGTAGACTCAGTAAACGGAAATCTGTTAAGTGGAACTGCTGCTAAAATGGAGCAAGTGTTTCCGATAAGATTGTTTCCATACTTGTATTATACACCCCGGTCCATTTCTTAGTAAATGAAACTCCTGTTAAATGGAACACATTTTCCTGGTTCCTTCAGGTTCTGTGTAATGAGAGTCTACTGTGTATAGGGGATTCGACATATAACGTATGCAATATATGAACAATGCATTTGAAAGCAATTTACAACTGTTCAATATAAATAACAATTCGTTATATGTGGATTCGGTATATGCATGTAGGACTGTTATCAGCAGTTATGATCCCTCAGCAGCTTGAAATTCGGATTAAAAGGTACAGTGCAGTATGTTAAAATATGTCCAATGTGTAACTTTGCATGCATTTATTATACAGTGTAGACCATTCATAACGTACCTGCTTATAGTGCAGAATCGGTTTCAATGTGGCCTTTTTCGACTCCCATTCACTCTCCCATAAAACACCATGTATACGCATACCTCTTATTGTGCAGTCTCCCAAGATGAAAGATCGGTTATAATGAATCTGCTGGAAAATCTTTGTGCCAAATACGGTAGCAAGTGCACGCGAAAGGAGGCGCAATGGGTGTGCCGTTGGGGAGTGAGCGACGAGGTTGTTATGGAGGAGGAGGGGACATGGAGTGAATGGACAAAGGGCAGAGAGAAGAAAAAGGAAAGGGAAAAACAAGACCGCGGCACACTGCCCAGGCTTGCTGAGTAAATGATGAGGGCAGTTGCCTCGGTGACTGATAAGCCCTGCACCAGCACCCGCTAGCATCGCTATGGTCACGTTTGGCTCAACATGGCACATGCATTTCCCATCCTTATTAACCGCATGTAACAGTTTTGTCAGGAAAAGGGTCGTCGTTATTGTGCTTGCTACAGATATCGCGTTTGATACGTTGTTGGTAAATTGAAAACCTTTTGCGGCCTCATGATGCAAGCTTTCTCCTTTGCTGCCAGTGCGCTGTCTTACGTAAGCTTGGCGGGATTTCATCGTTATCTCTTGGCTGCAAATGTGAACTTCATAACGCGTTAGCTGTTCTTGGTTCAAGGCGTGAGTGCAGTCTTTTCGATGACGGATCTTCATGTCTTGGACATACTTCCCGAGACAACATACCTAATAGCATGTTAGGACTAATTAACTTTGGGTGCTTTCGGTACAGCGGTCACGTGCAATCCAAGTTGCGGTTTGGTACAGAATCAACGAAACCTTTTGTGGTGGCTGCACTTGCAGGGAAGAAATATATATCGTTAAAGTTAAAAATAAAAACAAAGGCAGCATGTGTAGCACTTGAATGGTGCTTTGCTGTTCGACTGCGACATCTTGAAATTGGGTGCGCGCCTGTGAAATCGAATGATTGGCATCTTTCAGACCATGAAATTCCAGGTGTGATTCAACATTCTGTGTAATGCGCATAATCGAGGTGGTCTGAGAAGCGGTAGGCAAATCGTTAGCCCCCCGTTGTTGTTAACGGGGGTGCATTGTTAGCCCCTCCCTTGTTCATTTCATCGGCAATGCATGTTTTTGGATGTTAAATTATTTTAACATTCAGGAATTTAAAAGGGATAAGCTCCATGCATCGCATGCTTCAATTCTCAAAGACGCGAGGCTGCTTGCTCAACACGTTTTGTGCAATTGCAGCCCTTAAAGAAGGTTGTTTTGGTCATAGTGCGGTATCGCTTAGCTATAGTGCAGATATCTATGACTTCCGTGGCTGACGTTATAAGTGGTCTATACTTTAGTGCTGTTGAAGAATGAGCCGATCTTACTAGCCTTGTAGATGATTCGGCATAATGGCCAAAGTCCGAAGCAATGTTCTCACGTTTCTTTGCGCCCCGCCGCGGTGGTCTAGTGGCTAAGGCACTCGGCTGCTGACCCGCAGGGCGCGGGTTCGAATCCCGGCTGCGGCGGCTGCATTTCCGATGGAGGCGGAAATGTTGTAGGCCCGTGTGCTCAGATTTGGGTGCACGTTAAAGAACCCCAGGTGGTCTAAATTTCCGGAGCCCTCCACTACGGCGTCTCTCATAATCATAGAGTGGTTTTGGGACGTTAAACCCCACATATCAATCAATCAATCACGTTTCTTTGCCCCTATTTTGCAGGCTACCGTCACGTACAGCTCACATCTGACACCGGCAAAGTGCTTGAAAACTCCTCGCTCTTTCTTCATGTCACTATGAGCACCCGTTCAGGAGACAAGGTATGAAAACACCTTGGCCACTCCTGCTACTGCAGGCAGCCCGGAAATAAGAGTTGCCAGATGCTGCCGAGTTAACAAGCAAAGTAATCATCGCAAATGAAGCTCTAACAAAGCTGCATGGCTTTCATACAGAAACCCCAAAAAAGTGGGAATATTATTAAGTTAATATTTTTAATTGTGATGAAAAATGTCACTTCAATATGAAGGAGAGATGAAAATACTCTTCTTAATTGTACACTATTGTACAGTGAGAATATGCACAATTACAAACGAAAGCACATATACTTATTGTTTAACATTGTCTCTGGGGCAGTTTCCATTGGTTGAATGGGCGTTTGCCAGTGTATGACTAACGCTACTTGTTAATTCCCCTAGTCTATGTTTGACTTCAACATTAAAGTCATAGTCATCAACAAATGCAATATTGGTGAATGTGATGATCCCTAAAGTAAGTGTATTTGAGGGAAAATTCAAATAAACTCACAAGAAAGGCAACAAGCGACTACAGAATTCTACAAGGGACTTGCAGAAAAAGAAAAAGCCCAAATCCGCTTATGCCAAATGGAAACTGGCAACTCTGCTTGAATACCTAAATAGTTTGATTTGATTGTGCCAATATCTCGCAATGTCTGTCCATTGTTTCACATTGTTTATGTGGCACATTATGTGCCACATAAAATGAGAAAAGTGTCATGCATGTGTGCTTTCTCCAGCTCAGCAGAAAGCAGTTAGCTTTTGCAAATCCAAGCCATGCTTGTTTGAAAGCCACACTTATGGTATCTCTGAAAAAAAAGTATCATAAAAACAAAATTCAGAATATTGTCAGATGTGCCATTGCAACTAGGGGATTTTATGCACATCATCAGGTTGTGAAGAGGACTGTCACATCAAATGTTGAGGGATGTCTCCCGGGCTTTGTCAACTGAGCTAGCATGCCACTGTGCAAGTCTTGCTTGTAACCTATTAAACAAACGAGTCGGTTAACTTCCAAGTTTCGTCACTCATTGCGTGCCTGTCGCTCCACAATGATAAGATGTGACTCTTGGCGTTAAACGTTTACTTGGCTGTTATTAGCTCCTACAAAGGCAATTGGCATCCTATGAAACAAACTGGGCTGCGGTCGTGCCTGTGTGAGACGTTAGAATATTGGTTTCACTCCACTGTTGAGACATTGATACGGAACAAGGCATGGACGCTTATTACCGTAAAAGCCCACTTATAGCTCGGACCTGGATATAGTCCAGGGTGTAATTTGGGAATAGCAAACGCGAGAAAAAAATCGCCCGAGTAAAATGGAAAGATGCATTTGTTGACACACTTCATTCATCATCATTGTCGACGCACTTTTTTCTGCCCCGCCGCGGTGCTCTAGTGGCTAAGATACTCGGCTGCTGACCCATAGGTCACGGGATCGAATCCCGACTGCGCCGGCCGCATTTCCGATAAAGGCGTAAATGCTGTAGGCCCGTGTGCTCAGATTTGGGTGCACGTTAAAGAACCCCAGGTGGTCGAAATTTCCGAAGCCCTCCAGTACAATGTATCTCATAATCATATGGTGGTTTTGGGACGTTAAACCTCACATATCAATACGCACTTTCTTCCGAAGCTCCCTTGTCAGAAATGTTCTCCCACAGCACATCATCTTCAGTGCCGTCAAGCGTGTTCGAGATGGAGCACTTTTTGAATGTGTGGCAAACAAGCGCCCCGAGATCTGGCCCAAGCCTCGACTAGCACAGCATCCCTTGGGTGATGCTGTGCTAGTTTCAGCACAGCATCACCCATTTCAGCCGTTCGGCAGGGGTCACTTTCGATTCTCAGGACCTTATCCACTCCGCATGCAGGTGCTTGACATTGTCCTTAAATGGCTTATTAAGACACACATCAAGCAGCTGCAGCTGTGATGTCATCCCTCCTGGGATGACGATGAGCTCGGTGCCGGAATCATGCAGCAGTCGCTTTACGGAGTCGGTCAGGTGACACCGAAACCCGTCGAGCACAAGCATCCAAGGGAGCCCTAGCAGTGCTCCGGGCTGTCGACACCACATGAGCTTTACCAGTGAAGCACTAGCAATTCGTCTATCCACCCCGTGTCCTGGCAGCGGGCGACAACATTTTTTGGGAACTTCTCCCCCCTTTGGCAGCGTCTTTCGTTTGAATACCACATAGGGAGGTAGCTTGCGACCGTCTGCAGTGCAGGACAACATAACAGTCACCCGCATTTTTTCGTTCCCTGTCAATCGCACGATAGCTTGCCTAGAGCCTTTCTGATGCACCATCAGCATTGAGGGCATCTCCAGGTAGACCGGCGTTTCATGTTCGTTGCCGTTCTGGCCCAGCTGAAAGGGGACAGCTTTTCGCAACGCGATTACATACTTTTGAAACTACACAAGCTCTTTGGTGGTGTTGCGACCTTGGTTTGCAGGCACCCGAGTTCTGGGATGAAGATGTCGAGGCATGAGGAGGTAGAACTTCGTAGAGAGGGTTTATTTACATTATTTGCATGGCACGAGCTCTCTGGATCAAAGCTTTACATTGAGCAGTTCTACATTGTGAGGTCCTCCATAGAACAAGCACGTTGAACAAGCTCTCAGCAGCTCGTGAGGGATGATTTTAAAGAGTCTCACTTCCTCAGATCCCTACATCGAGGAACAGTTCTATACTGCACTGTTCAATAAAAGGTCCCACAGCCCACACGAGGGTCATTATGCCGGCACTGCCCCCAACATAAACATACACTAACCAAGGGCTTGTATGGTCCCGGCAATGCTGCCTCTTTCGCCGAATTTTGCTTCCAGCGAGCGGGATGAAACGAGTCTGTCATCCTGCTGCTTGGGCCGACAACCCATGCTTTGTCGAACGGCGGTCACGGTCTCCGAGAGGCCATGCGTGGACATCTGGTACTGATTTGAGCGTCGGCGGCTCATCAGTCAGAGACGCACAGCGTGGTGGTCCGACGTCTGTAATAGGCGGAAGCTCGGCACTGTGGCTTTGACTGGAGCACAAAGACGTCACATGTCCCATCTCTGCGCACACGCCAAGGACAGCGATGCTCCGTCGAGTAATTTTAGCCACGCAGCGCCCAGTACGTATGGAAACAGCAGGGTGTCTTGGCGCTGCTCCTTATCTCCATAAAATGAGGCGGCAGCCTTTGTTCTGTTCTGGAGGCCGCGGCAAAAGGGTGGCTCGCCAAACGCAACAGGAGCTTCTGTGAGATCGGCAGCTGCTACTGCCACTAACACCATCTAGCACCAAGCGCAGAAGTGCGCAAACACCTGATGATGATGATAGCACAGTGTTATGCCTAAACCAAAACTGAATTTTGGACAAAAATTCTTATGACCCGCATATAGCACAGAGCCAAAATTTCGTACGGTAAAAATCTAGAAAAAAACACTGGGCTATACGCAGGCTTTTACGGTACGTAGAACGAACTATTTCAATGTCACTGGTCAAATTTACACCACCAGAAACAAATCCTAATAGGTTGACATAAAATTACAGCACCATTCATAAGTTCGAATCATCGGAATAGTAGGCTGCTTTCCCATTTTAGTTTTGTTCTTAGTGGATAAGGAATGTATTTATACACATGGAAAGTATTTTTTCTCACTTTATGGCCACTCTATAGATTTTATATCTGCAACGAAAAAAAATTATCCTAGGGAACATTTTGTCCAAAAATTAAGGAGTGTTTTTTACTAATACAGACAGACGTATCCAATCATAGTAAAGCCACAAATAGCTGAGTGTATTTATTATGCCCAATAAGCTTATGTCTGTGCTAGACATCCTGAATTTTCTTCACTAATTTTCATATAAAGTGTTGTGTCAGTGTTCATTGCACTGATGTTTGACATATCTTGCTTTTTATTATATGATCGATTTATAGCATCTTTCTTTGAGAGCTGCACACGTGTTTGTGGGATGAGTATAATTTTGCAGAGCTTCCCTCTTTCAGAAATTAAGAAGGAAACGATCCTGGCAGACTCGGCCACAGGCTGAGATGAGGCATGTTGGTATCCGGCACCTCGACGAAGCCTTCAAGGTGTGTTTGGGACTTGTGTGCTCATTTGTTGCATTTGCACATTTGTATGTAATTTCTAGAGCACAGCTCTGAGGTGCTTGTTCCTGTGTTGAGCGGCATCGCCGTCGGTGGTGCAACCAATAGACATGAAGCAATAAAATGAAAAAAAATAATAATAAATGCACCTGTTCTGTTTAAGCAGAAGTTCCACGTAACAGATTTCTGTTTACTAAGAGTCTACTGTAATGAGATGCCAATTATCCTGCTGCCAGTTATATATTTCATTTTGGCATATAAAGAATAAAATCGTTGGCTTAAAACGTGTGTGCAGTTTGTTTTTGGCTGCATTCATTTCGAGAGAAAAAGAAGTAATATTTTTTTTTATTCTGGAATGCGGTACGTCAAGCGACCCGTCTAACATCATAGTGCCCTCACCAAAGTGGTTGGCTACGTCATACGCAGTACGCTGTGGTTGAGTCATGCTGACTGCATAGAAGGTTCAGTTTATCCAGTGAGCGATAAGTCTTGCTCTTCTTTGGCCACAAATTGACACTACTGTAGTCGAATCTCGATAATTCGAACTCGAAGGGGCCCGAAAATTCGTTCAAATTAAAAGAAGTTCGAATTAATGAAAGCTAAGTAAACGGAGGGCTCTCCATTCTGTGGCGCATGTGCATTGAGCTAACACACGAGGGAGAAGTTTAAGAAGACCTAAATTTATTCAGAAATCACAGGACACATGTTATTAATTGAAGTAATCGGTGATGCATGCGCGTCTGCCCACGTTTGCCGTGCAGCGAGCCAATCAATTTTGCATGCAGCTTGCAAAACATTTCTACTTCGACTTCAGCATTCTCCTGGCAAGAGAAGTTGCGCGCGAAAATGTCCAGCGCCGACACTTTCTAATGACGACGACAACAATGACTGCTGCGTAACGAAGCCGCCCGCTTTCCGTTACGCAGACGCAGTGTGGCCAGCACGGGACGAGAAAGGAGGGGCGTCTCCACGCGGAAAGAAGCAGATCGGTATTTGAGAGAAAACAAACACTCCATGGCAGCTATTTTTTTTTTTTTGCTCTCTTTGCGCGTGTAGTTGAAAGGAGAAGGGTTACATGGCAGGGAAGGGAAAGGGGGATGCGTGGCATTGGCATGTAAGAGATCCCCCCCCCACACTCAAGGCGAATAGCCGTGCTCCCGCATAGGGCAAGGGCTGCAGAAGACAGTGCCTTTTTCCTTTCAACCACACAATCATTCAACCCAGCAACCGCTTTCTTTTTTTTTTCTCTCTCTCTCTTCGTGCGCGGCATTGGAAGGAGGAGTGTCTTTACGTGGCAGGGACTTCCGGAAAAGGGAGAAGCGTGACACGGGTGCGTCACAGATCGGCATTTGAGAGAGAGCAAACATTCCACCGCAGCCTTTTCTTTCCTTTGCGGGCAGCGTTGAGGTGTCGCAGGTGCCGCGGCGGGATTGGGCGGGGTTCCGAGAGCATTTTCGGAGCGCGGTATATTCGAATTAACCGTCGGAAGTGCTTGGGCGTTCGAATTACCGGGCGTTTTTACCCATTAGAATAGACATAACTTTGACAAGACCTCATAGTGAGTTCGAATTAGCCGGAAGTTAGAATTAAGCGTGTTCGTAATAATGAGATTTGACGGTAGCATAAAGAAGTGGTGTACACAAACTTAGCCACTGCTATTGTAGGGGTTATGTGTGTTTTTGTTATAGACACTAAAGGTTTTTTTTTTTTTTCATGATACGTGAGAACATCATTTGGTGGCTATGCAATAAAGTCTGTGCAAACGAAGTTACTGCTCATGTTTACACTTGCAGAAGTTGTCCGGACAAGCTCAACGTCATTCTCGATCTTCGTTGGGGTAGTGAGAAAACTTAGCCTCTCCTAAAGCCACATATCATATCCATGAGGAAAGTTGTTGAGATAAGTGTAATCTCTAGGTGACACATATATGCATCCAAGTTTTTATTTCGTCACCCTCGATTGCTGAAATTTCTTGTCTCTGTCATGTGCCACATAAGAAACATGCCCAGTACAATATGCGGGTGTGCTGAATTTTTTCGCTGGATTGCGATAATGTAGTGCAGTCTCTCACAAGTTACTGAAAATGTGGACATGGTTGATTTCATGACATAGCTCTCTCCTGATTCCAGCATAAATTTTTTTTGTGTCAAAAAGCAGCTCGCAGTACCATTCAGTGTGAAATTTTTTATTCGTTGTCTTCTTTAAGTTGTTGATGGTATTGGTTTGTTGCTATATTCAGTGACTTTTTTCATTTGCATTCTCCAGCTCCGTAGCTGTAGAAAGTTGTCACTAACATTAGCTAGATAAATGTGATTCTATGAGAAGCTCGGACGATGCAAAATCAGCACTTGTGTGTTAATTGAGTGCATTGCTGTCCTGGTGTGCAGTGGGTGCCATGCAGGTGTACCTGTAATAGTAAAAATGCTCTAGATAGGCCGCTCTTCCACCTTTAGTCGTGACCGTGCTGTGCGTTTGGCACAGGCCTGGTATTTTTCAACAATGGTCATATATTCATTTGCACGCCATTCTGCAGGGGGCAGCTGGGGCATTGAACGAGTGCCAGCGGCTGAAGGGATCCTTAGATCGCGCCTTGCTAGAGTGTTGTGAAGAGTGTGGCCTGCCAAGCAGTGCAAACTTGGCCCAGTGCCTGCGAGCAGCTGCCTTGCGATTGGCTTCAGCTTCCGAAGTAGTTGGCATCAGCATCACCGAAGAGAAAGGGGTGAGACAAAGTTACTCATTTGGTTGCTTATTAATTTCCTTCGATATGTGATATGCTATTTCCTATGATTGTGAGACTTGTGCAAGCATTCGAGCACTTCAAATATTTGAATGAATATTAGAATTCGCTTTGATTCGGATTTAAATTATTGAAAATTTAAAGTATTCGTAATAGTGTCTATAGTCTGTGTCTAGTTGAACGTGAATTTTCTGTTGGCAGTCGTGATACTGAATAAACATGGAAGCTTGGCGAACAAGCTCGTATCATCAGTGTCTCGTCAGTCTAATCAGTCGACCACTTGTTCGTCTACGAAAACATAAAAATATTAGTTCGCATGCAACTTTTTGTCAAGGTGGCTTCACTACAGTTGAGGTGTGCTGTACTGTCAAAACACCTGTCCAGGGAGCATCTGCATTGCCAAGAAGCCCTACTTCAAAGTTAAACCAACATAGTACCCCTACATTGATCCATCATATTTTAAAAGGGCCCCGCAACACTTTTTGAGCATGGTCAGAAAACACTGCCGATGGATGATCGAGGCTTCAGAGAACATGCGGGCCAGGTATTATAGTGCAGCATGCGGCCTTTAATTCACAATAAATTCTCAGTCAGCTGAAAATTGCTTTGTCTTCTCTTGACAAATGACGCTGCAAGTTTAAAAATCACTCGTGAGAACCATCGTTGATGTCATTGGATGATTCCAGCATTGCGTTCGATCATTACTAGGGCTGCCGCAAAATTCTGTGATGTCTCTGTCAGTGTTTAGTTTTTTTCAGGTAAAACTACAATGTTCTTTACTCAGGTTTTTCTGAAGAGAATGTTGCTTGTCGCATTTTTTTTTAGTTAATATAAATGAGACTGTACTCTGTTAAAAAATTTAGTGCTTGGAGTTACGGTAGTGGCTGTTTGGCATAGTAAGCTTTCTAGCTGCAGCATTTTTTTTTTCTTTTGCTCATTAGTACCCGGTGTTCAAGGTTCAAGGTGAACCCTCTGTGAAAGCATCAAAACTGGTCACTGCATTTGACAAGGTAAGTGGATGCGTCCTTTTTGACAGTGGGTTTGTTGCTTGTGTCAAGTATTTTCCATTAAAAGGACACTAAAGTCGAACAATGACTTGGTTTAGATTAACTAACTCTGCTCAGAGAACTCTAATGCTGTAAGCTTTACCATCATAAGTTCATTATTAGAGAAGGAAAATTAAGTTCAAAGTTTCATTTTAAAATTTTGCCCCGAAATTTGTGCATTTGACGTCAAGGATTTCAAAATGTATTTTTTGTATTGTCACGACATTAGCTAGATGAATTTTTCTGAAACTTCATATGTTAGGTTGATGGCCCCAAAGATGACAATGTACTTGATTTTTGTCAATTAGGTAATATGCAGGACTTAGTAGCGGCCGTCAAAATTTATGACATCATGACGTTTGGCGCGGGAACTTCAGATAACCTCTCCAGCCGCATTTTCTTTTGATGTGTTTTCTCTCTTACGAAGTGTCGTCCTGCGGTAAGAGTAGCATTTCCGGGATTGTGGAATTGTACTTTACCATTACACATGATATCATTTTGATATTTAGTGTGTATGCCTGTGCGAATAATCAATTTTAGGCTCGAAGCAAACAGTGATTTTGGTTGAATAATTTTTAATTAAATTCACATGGTATATATCACATATTATACATTATAAAGAAAAAGTTATACATTATAAATAAAAACCAAACCTGCACAATATTTTTTTAAAATTTAAGAAGGGCCTTGTACAAATGGCAATTTTTTTGCATCAATTAAAGTGAAAGCAACTTTGAACAGTAGCTTGATTTGGTTGGATAAAATTCTAGTGATAGCCTGTAAAATATGTTACATGTTGAAATTTGCTCTGCTGAAACCTAAAGAGTTGGTATAACGAGCTTTTAAACTGAAAAAAAAAAAAATTGATGTAAGGATATTTTGAACCTTGAAAGGGAGTTTCGCGGCATTGCGCATTTCTTTTGGATATGTGTTTTCACGGCTCAGCACAGCTTTGCCGCAGTGAAACTACTTCTACAGGAAGTTACATGAGAAATAATATATGCTCGAGTAGGTGGTTTCATGGTTTAGCAACTCTCTACTGCAGCGAAACTACCTTTACAGAATGTTACATGCAGATTAATAAACATCTATTCGTTCGTCTGGAATAATTCGAAATTTTGAATAACTTAAATTTGATTTCAAGCTAAATTCAACTATGTATTATTTGTTCGAATATTGGAAGCATTCAAATGTTCGCACACGCCCATTAGCGTTCCTTTAAAGGGACCGACAACTGCCCAGAACATGAATTGAAATTGTTCCACGGATAAAAAGATTGGCCTTTGCATAGCCTCAAATCAACTTTGTTTTTTTTTATTTTAATATAATAATTTATATTATTTCTTCATTGCACGTTGTGAAAAATGACCCCAAGAAAGTATAAAAAAAAGTTTCAAAAGCATGAATCGTCTGATGTACCGGGCCATGTGACCATTGATTGCCGTACATGGTCAATGATTTTTTTTTTTCACTATTGAAATATTGTTGTTTTTTTATATCAAAAGATATTACTCTATAAAAATGTACTCGAAGGCCTGCGTTAGTAGTATGCTTTAAAGCGGCGCTGCCTTGACAGGACATAATTATCCCATATTTGTCAGCGCTTTTCAGCAATTTTTTTGCATGCTCTTGAAATTGCGCACTCAGTTTTCTGGTCGCTAAGATTTTGAAGCGATGTTGTTTTTCTACCTAGACTTCATCTCAGAGGGAACCTGTATCACTACTCGGCACGGTCATGCATATGCTTAGTGATGTTTTTGGTAACTTGGCTTCGCTCGTGTTTTGGAAGTGTAGTGATGCAGGGACAAGTTGCTCATGACACAGGCATAGGCAACCCTGTGTGCAGGTGCACATAGCCCGGTATAATTGCAGGGAAAGTGTATAATGCCATATCATCTTATTGTAATGACTTATTTATTTTCAGAAAATGTCTAGAAGCTTGAAATAAAAGTAGTTAAGCATAGTTACAGGAACTTCTGTAAAAGCAGAACGACAGTGTTCACAATCGCGAGAAGGGCTGGTGGCATCGCTATAATTTCTCGGTGTACATTTGTGTTTAGAGCCTTCTAGATCTAAAAATACTGCACCGAAAATAAGTAGTACATGCTTTTGGGATTAGCTACTGCAGCTTCAAACACTACAAAAGGTGAGCTGTCTACCGCACCATAAAAAAATGGTTCGAGAAAAATCTGTTGTTGGTTTTTTTAAAGAATTGCCACTTGCCACGAAATAAGTTTGTTATATCCAAAACCTTGTTATAAATGTATATCTGTAAAACTGTATCAGTAACAAATACGTATTTGTTTGACAAGAATATTCTTTATTTACTTCACTATAACCGATAATTTGTTGTACCTTTGTTCATTAGATCAAGCTTTGAGCGTAAATGAAGTCTTTTCATAGTGTTACAAGCATATGTTTATAAAGAATTTTCGGGTATAACGAAGTGATTTTGTGGCAGGGTATGACCTTGCTAAAATGAGGTTTGAGTGTACAACAGTCATTTCTACCATGAAATAACTTTGTTATAATGTATGGCAGCTGTTTTTTATTTACATCATTATAACTGATAATATGTTATACTCATGTTTGTTATGCCTAGGTTTCAGTGTAAATGAAGTGTAGTCTTGTCGTGGATAGTTTTTATAACCTTCTCCGAAATGGCACTGAGGGAATGAGAAGGGAGAAACTGTACGCCCAACTTTTAATTCCTAAAGTAACTAAAAAAAACTGTATACTATCATCCTAGTAGGCCACAAGTGTGCAGCATTATCAGCTCTGACAACACGGGCTGCCATGCCAAGCATGTAGCCCACATATCAATTCTTTTGTCAAGTGGACATACAGGCTACTTTGGTACAATGTGAAAATGAGCAACATAGCTTTGATCTCATACTGATTCATCATCATCATCCTGACTACGCCCACTGCAGAGCAAAAGTCTCTGCCATGATTTGTTAATAAACACGATTCTGTGCTTTCTGCTGTCGCTCTATACCTGCAAACTTCCTAACCTCATCTGCCCATCTAGTTTTCTGTCTCCTTCTCGCGCATTTGCCTACTCTTGGAATCCAGTCAGTAACCCTTAATGACCAGTGGGTTTCCTGCCTACATGCTGCATGCTTGGCCCATGTCCATTTCTTCTTCTTGATTTCAACTACAGAGAAACCCCGTTAATACGTACCTGCCGGGAGCGGCGTCATAACTACGCGCTAAATGCACTACGCATTAACCACCAGCTACAAAATCACATATCGTGACACGCGGCATCGTCGCCAACAAAGAAACTCGGGATATATTGCCTAAAGTGACCACTGCAAAGCCATTTTTTTCTTTTTGCCAAAATGCAGAAAAGTTTCTAACTCTCGCACATGCGTCTGATAGCACGCGGTGGTGAGGTCGATGAGCATTTTGAAACTACTACACGTTACGGGATACGCAGCGTGGTACAGCGACAGAACGAACACAACTGGCTGTTCATGATAGTTGTTCCACGGTCTGCTTCTAAGCAAAAACAAATGCAGTTTTCTTTTTTTAAGCGCGTTATGGTCGCAGAGAGCCACATAGTTTACTTGCATGGCTAGTTGCGTGCGGCGCTTCGCTCATTCAGCGCACACTGTGGCTGCCGATCCGCTAGCCGTAGAATACGCCTTCTCCACTTCAGGCCATGCACAGATGTGGGGAGTAGCCTGCTGGATTTACGCAGCGACAAAGAACTTCTGGCAAGCAATTCGCTCTCCACGATGCTCTAGCAGTCCTGGCAATGGACGGAGACGCGCTTGAACTGTCGCTAAATGAAAGCGTGCAGCATGGTCACAATCGTGCTACGCTTGCTGTACTGTGCGCATGTTGACGTAATGCAGCGAGGCATCTTGGTGCCTGTGACCCGAAACGATAAACTCCGCGACAGTGAGCTGCTTGCGTTTCTGTAAAGCAGTGTGCGCTGGAACATGGTCCCGCACAACATAGCGACAGTGATCGGCGGCCCAACGCATTCAAATAGTCGCCTACTAAAAGGGTGCACTAGGCCTAAAGAGAAGCTACACCACATGCGTGCCCGAGCAGATAACCGGGTATGCTTACTGTGATAAAGCTTTTCGTAGGTGATAAGCCTTTATCAGTGGTCACCAGAGCGCCTTTGTTTTTTTCCCCAATGATTGCTCGCAATGTCATCGCCGCAATCGTGTAGAAGTCGGAATAACTTACCAGGTAATCTCCGCACTAAAGCAGTAAAAGCTCAGCGACGCAGTAAAGTATTGGGGAGTAAAATGTTATCGCGGTACCCATTTAGTGTGCACCAACCGGCAGACATAAGCCGAACAATACGGCTTAAGCGGTTTGCGAATGCATTAGTCTCTATGAGACGGGGTCAGAAAGTCATCGCAACTATGTCTTAACGGTTGGTACGCTTAAAGAGGGTACGAACTGATGATGTTTCACTGTATGGTATGATATCCTTAACCTCAGTTTGTTCCCTGACCCACTCTGCTGCCATTCTCTCTCTTAAAGTTACACATATCATTTTCCTTTTAATTGCTCGCTGCATCATTTTCATTTTAAGTTGAACCCTCCTCGTCAGCCTCCAGACTTCTGTTCCAGTTATCTACTCCTTATTTGTTAAGTTATATTTGACTGGGGTTACTTATAAAATGTAGTGCTCAGCTTGATAGGTTTTATCTCATTTCTGCCATAAGTATTGGTAATTTAAATATATACCTTATTTCACGGCACATTCGATAACCAACCAGCTTTTAAAATTTTTTTTTAATCTGCATTGATTGTTGTCTGTGAAAAATATACTATATATACATGAATATTTTAGATGCATCGGCAATGCTTTAAACTCCATGACTTGTTTGACAAATTTTGTAACTGCTACTTAAACACGAATAGCTGCTCTCCAAACTAAAATTTTTTTTCTGCTCCAAAAACGCTTATGGATGCTTCAAAGTGGTACGGTTTCTGCTCCAAAGTCAGCTCCAAAAATGTAAAAAGTCGTTTCCATCACGTGGATATAACGAAGTTATTTCCTGGCATGTGTGACTCTGTTAAAATGAGGTTTGCATGTATAACACTCACAGCTGCCATGAACTAACTTCGTTATATTCAAAAATTAGTTATAAACATTTGTTTGTAACACTACATTTATGACAAGACTGTTCTTTATGTTCTTTGTTATATTCATGTTCATTATATTGAGGTGTGAGTGTAAGTGAACAATATTGTTGTTGTTAATAGAGTGTATACAATTTTTTAATGAATATTTGGATATAACTAAGTCATTTCGTGGCAGGTGTGGCTTTTTATGAGGTCTGAGTGTACTTCCTTTGAATTGCGTCCACTCTGAAGCATGCCTTTTTTGTCAACAGGTGCTGGCTGAATGCAAGGCCATTTCTGAGACATCACATTCTGTTTTCAAAACAGTGAGTTGGAATTCGTTCGTTGTCCTTAAACCCAATGTCACATTTATTGAGCTTTTGAGAATTGAACTTCATATTTTCATTGATCAAAAACAGCGGACTCATTACTAGCTTTGTGCAAATAATAAGGTTTGATAATCTCGGATAATGGTGCAGCGGATATGTAACCTTTTTTTTTGACAATGCAACATTTGTTCCACTGATGAATTCATTAATGATAATGGCTGAATTTGGTCCACAGTTGAATGAGCTGTACCAGACCATGAAGAGTTTCTCCGAGGACCTGAACGGCACATGTGTGGCAATTGGTCTCAAAGGAAAGAAGGCTGAGAAGGTGAAGTACCAATGGTTATTACACTCATGCCACGTGGATGAAAGAAATGACATTCAGTAGTTATGACATTAAGTTTCTGGATGACATATTTTTCCTCAAGCGGCTATTTGTTTAAATTTGACCGGATGTCAATAACACTGACTTTTGAAATGCGAAGTACTAGGATAACAATAAATTATAAACAATTTTAACCACTCTACTTTGCATTTACAAATAGTGAAATGTATAAATAAGTGTATAATAGTATTGGTAGCTTGAATTGCTCCTGTCTCTTACTACATTGCAACTGACCACAGCAACTTCAACCATTGCTTTTTGAATCCGAAGCCTAGAATCCGACGTGGCATGTGTCATGTCGAAGCCACTGCAGTTCTGTGGACTTTCGCCATAGTGCAACTGGGAAATAGTAGCATGCTGCTATGTGTTAAAAACCACAAGTAAAATATTTTGGTATAGTATACGGTGTTTCAAATGTTTTATGTGCACTGCACTGAGCACACTTTGGCATCGAGAATATGCATTAATCAAATGGGTTCTAGTGAGGGCATCAGGTGGTGAACGGCATTTAGGTGACTGCGATTTGATTTTCGTATGTGGCACCATGTAAATGGCATCAAAGGGACCCTAAAACAGGTTTTCAAACTTTTTTTCAGCATTTTGGCTTGAGCATGATCAAATCATTTGCACCTCGAGTATAGCGACATGCCGTGTACCAAGGAGGCTACAGACAATCATAGCTATATTCTCCTTTTCATCCTTGCCTTACCTCCTCAATTCGTGAGACAAGCTGGCATCCCTAGGGATCGCAAGGCTCTTATGAGCACACTTGACGGTGTGAGCCTCACCCAGTCATGGCCTCCGATATTGCACACCAATGGGTTGCGCACTGTCTCAAAGGCCATAGTCGAGTGTGCCCGGCAGCACACATGCCCTCTCTCAACAGTGACAAATACTGCGGTGTGGATTATATCTGCTTCGACAGGTGCTGTCACATTACCAGCTGATCTTATTTTATTCTTCTGTGCGGCAAAAAACCTGCAAAATCATGTTAACTAAAATGAATTCAAGCGATCACCAAGCAGCGTAAACTTGGGCAGCGTGGTTGTGTCTTCAGGGGTGAAGTTACAGTTGTAGACACATGGATCTAGAGTTCACTCGTCAGTGACAGCGTGACGCTCACTTCAGTGAAAAGCTGATGCGATTCTGCTCATGAGATTACTCATAAACATTACATGGTGCTTTACAAATGATCGATTGCTAGGTATGTGGTACAAAACACAGCTAGGACAATTCATTGCATCCAAGAAAATAAACCTTGATATAAACCTGTCGCTCAGCTCAGGTCAACACGGAGCATATGGTAACACAAGCAGACGACGCTCGCTGCTCGTCCAATAAGATCGATCACTGGGTGCTCTACGTACTGGAAGCTTTCTAAGTGTTAAAGGCACGACAAGTTAAAAACTCGTTTGGCTGAGCCCCAGCAATCTGCAGTGATTCACATGTTAAATTTCTTGTAATAAATTACTCAGTTGAGAGCTGAAATCGGTCTTCAAATGATCCTTAAAACTTGCTTTACTGGCTCAATGCGTTTATACGAAATCGTCAAGACCGCTTTAGGTTTCCTTTAAATTTTAAGACATCAGGGAGGTATTTGTATTTTCTGTGTCTGTGTAGCACTGGTATTATCCCGCTGCTCTTGTTTGTTTCTGTGTATTTTTTTACTTATGTCTTTATGTGTGTCTGTGTATTTTTCTCCTTGTTCTTCTTCCTTAAAAGGCTGCTGAGCACTTTCTATGGAACGCAAGTATCGTAGAGTCGAGGATGGACATGCTTCGTAAAGTGGACAAAGAAAGCCGTGCCTGCATGAAACAGGTTTGTTTAATTTTTTTTTATTGGGCTTTAAATCAGTATTGTCAGTGGTTTAAAATGATTACACGATTCGAAATGCACCTAAGGCACGTTACCGGGCTAGTCGGTTAGGATTCATAATTCATATGGCATAGCACATCCAGACAAGAACAAAAAAAGACACACACACACACAGCACTATCTTGAAACTGATGGTATTATTTTGATCACACTTGCTGTTTAACAATAACAGGAGGTTGACAAAAAAAAGGGAACAACATGTAAAGAAACTGGCCTGCATGTCATGGGATCGAATCCCAGCCTTGTGGGTCGCATTTTCAATGAAGGTAAAACTGCATGAGGCCAGCGTACTTAGATGGTGCATGTTAAAAAACACCTGGGGGTCAAAATTTTCAGATCCCTCCACTACAGTATCTGTTATGGTCATATTGTGGTGTCGGGACTTTATACATTATTACATGTGAATTTACAGCACAGAGCACTCACGCGTCGTTATTAATCACACAAGAATCTGTACCCGCCTACTTTATAGCTTTTTAGGCTTAGGAGAAGAAGTATGTTGATTCGTTGCTTTGACATAGGCGGGCACAGACTGTCATGTGATTAGTGATGACACTTGTATTCTCTGTGCTGTATACTCACTTGTCCCCTCGGTTTTTATCGCTCTACTGTTATTGCATAAATAGTTGTGTGATTGCAAATAAAATCGTTAGTCGTAAGTTAACTCCAGGTGCGTGTGTCCTTCTCTATCCCTTATGAATACTGAAATTCAGCCCCATTTTAATAAGCTGGCTCACATCACAGACATACATGATCAATAGTACGAGCCAAGACAAATGACATCTAAGCTCTCCTTTCTCTCCGGTCAGCTCGAGTTTCCATCATTGATAGGGCATGGAAACGCTGTCAGATCTACTTGAATGTTTTTCATAGAACAGCACGAAAACTGTGGTAGTATTCGAGTGGTCTTCTTTTTTTTTTCCCCAAAAAGCAGTGCATTTCTCGGTAGTATTTCAAGGGAAATAAATTTATATTGTGCTCTCACCAAGCATGTCTGACTAGTTTTGCTTTCAGGTTTTAGCTTTGCGTTTTATAAACTTAAGCAGTATTTGTTTACTCTTTTTATTCTCCTCTCCTATGTATTGCATTCAGGTACTACGACTTGGGCAGACTGCAAGACGGCTCTACCAGCGAGAAAGAGAAGGGTCGTCATCGCGCACACAGTCTGCGTCATCTTCTACGGGAAGCACGCTTTCTCCGCCGGGGGCCAACACACTCGGCTGCCCACAACCACCTCCGCCGACGCCGACATCGCCAGGTGGCAGTGACACCCGAATACGTGGTATCCTCAAAAAGACATCGAACCACCCTGCACCTCTAACCTCTCTGGAGGCCGTCGGTGCAATGGGAAATTCCAACGGAGGAGAGCCACCGCTCACTCCTTCACCGTCGCCTCGGGTGAAGCAGGCACCGAATCCTGCGGAGCTCGGAACATCGCTCTAGTCGTCACAACAGCTCTGCAGAACCCCTCGAACTATGCTGTGAAGTGCAACGGGATCACTAAGTCATACACATGCCCGACCTTCAGAAAAATCGGCAGGTGACAGAATGGTAGCTGTGCATGTTTTGAAAGTTCCATCCATGCTGCTTGCATGGCCGGCCAACATGTACGGTTGTGTGGACATTTGATTTTAGCGAACAGGTGAAACAAGGGAAGTAACACTCTGTTTCTTCGTGAAGTCATCTTCCTACTTACCATGCAAAGCTTGGCTAACGTGCCATCTTGGAAGGGTGTGAAACCATGTCTTGGTTCACATAGAGCATTGTTTCTGACAAGCAGTGAGAAGGTGCAAGCACTATCAACTCGTGACATGGCTGTGCTTGCAGCAAGTGTTCATATCTGCTAATGTCTGTAGCTGTGGATGTTGGAAAGAGTGAGTTGTTAGCCCAGACAGAGCCGTGATCCAAAATTCAGCATAGTGTGCTAGTCAAATGGAGACGACTGCACTGGAAGTTTTAGTAATAATTTACGAAAGCTGTGCGCATGCTGACATGTGTAGCCAGTGGACGACCACTTGCACAAATGCACATTTTTAAAGAGTCCATGGGCTTGTCTCAATTCCAAGGTCATCATGTCCTGTGCAGCACCGCAGCCGGTAGGTTTTGGGCCAAATAATTACTGAAGGACTTTTGTCTCGGCAGTTCTGTGCAGCATGGTTGAATCTGAATAAAGAAAGATATGTTGCTGAAGAGATAGAGCATCGTTAAACGGCAAATTGAGTCAGTGTCACACTGCTTGCTGAGGCAATCTTTGCTGCAGGTTGGTCCCAGTTATCCCTCTGTAAACTACTGCTTTGTCATTTACTGTTACAATTGTCAGCTGCATACTATGTATGTGCTTACTGGTCTGATGCCACGGGTCAAGCTTGACACAAAGACTACTTTATTTTGTGCATAATGAGTTAGCATATATAGCTCTGAGTCTTCCTTCTGCTGCACAGAACTACAGAGCTGTACTGTTGAGCTTGTGTGCCTGCTGCACAAATACAGCCACTGCAACTTGTGTGCAACCAAGTGTACATCTGTGTATGCATTGCCTGTGCCAATGGTGTCAAGGTGCCTTTCACAGCCGTGACGACATGTGTGATCCTTCGACTTGAGGCTTGCCCATGCTCTTCAGAGAGGATATTGATCCTAGGTGTTCACTATGGTATCACAATCAAGGTGATCCCACATTTGCAACCGTAGCATTGGCACGAGCTTGACAAGAAACAGTGATAGTCACTGTCCCACAGCTTTCTGTAAATGCGGTCGACGAATTGCCGTGTTTGGCGTGGCATCTGCAGGTGACTTACCTCAAGTCATCCACGTGTACATAGTTGAAACCTTATGAAGATGTCTGTCATTCCCAAGACCATAACTGAACCTTGAGAGTGCTTGGCCTAAAAGTCCTCTGTTTTCGGCATACAGAGGGCCTTGCACAGCCAACTTACATGTTATGCTCTCTGCTGAGAGTCTGTACATATTAACTGACCAGTGTTCACCTTTTTGCTTTAACTTATTATTATTACGCAGAAGGAGGAAGACCTTCTTTACCTCTCACGTGTTGACAGAATCCTTCGGAGTGACGGTGGCTTGCTGGATCACCTCTAGCTAGTTTTGTTGTGGGGTACACTTTGTTGTTTGGCTGTTGTCAGTACAGTAGACTGAGCTCAAGCTGTACTTTTCTCTCGCGGTTGAGGAAAGGGTTATCCTAATCGGAGGGAGCTCCTGCACTTTTTGTTTCGGAGAGGCGACAAGAAACACAAATCTCTAGTGGCATTTGCTGCAGCTGCTTTGTGATAGAGTGACTTACGGAATGTGTGCATAATTCAAGTTGTTGCCTGCTGCATAATGTGTATGCTGCATGGTCACAAAGGTACTGTTTGTTGCAAGGCTAGGATATTGTTAGGCAGTGTTGAAGTGCACCGAAAGAGTATTGTTGCTATTTCGCTTTATTTTCTGGAATTGAATCAGACATGGACAAAAGAACCAATGAAGCAATTACTGGCTAATTCCCAATCTGTTGTTTTCACTTTGGGATGATCATGTACTGGGCAAGAAAGTTCAGCGGTGACATTGCGCCTAAAGACTTTTGTGAAAGTTCTCTATCGATTTAAGTCAAACTCAGCTCTCAAAAAGCATTTGAAATGCTTGATACTTAACATACATATTATACTAACAAAATAATTGCTTATTTGAAATCTGCACACAAATGTACACAAACTCAGCAAGTTTCATCTCAATCAGTAAGGAATTGAAAGTCTGCACATGCCACGTAGAAAAAAAGGCTTGTGATGTTTCAATAGGCTAACAAGAAAAACAGCCTCAGCATTTTTATTACTTAGCCCATAAGTGAAACTTTCTTTAGTACTTGTCGATAAATGAGTGAACACTCAGCTGCCCTGTGCTCCATATCTACAGTGAACTATTTTGTTGGGTGTATTGGCCCCCAGCATCTTGCATAAAATTAAATTGTTTAAAGCTAGCACTGTATTTGTCTTATTTTTTCCTCCACATTCATAACATGCTACTTTGGCAGTGCACTTGAAGCTTCAAGGATTCAAACCTAGTTGTTGGCAGTTTCTCATATTTTGCACAGTACATGCTTTGAACGGCAGTTTCTAATATTTTGCACAGTACATGCTTTGAACAGTTCTTTTTGGTACTGGACGTGCAAGTGGGATATAAAAGAAGAAAGATCTTGAGGATTTACTTTGGCAGTGCACAGAAATTGGCACTGCACTGAAAGCTTCATGTGCAAGTTTTGGCAGTTTCTCATACGTTGTGCAAGCTCAAAATTGTTCGAACTGTTATTTTTGGAAGTGTACATGCAAGTGGGGTAAAAAAGATGTTGAGGAGGGTTTACTTTGGCAGTGTACTAAATTGGCAGTGCACTTAAAGCTTCAAGCACAGGTGTTGGCAGTTTTTGTCATATTTTGTGCATTACATTGTTTGAACAGTTTTGAACATTGTTAGGAAAGAAAAAAAAGAAGAGAGATGTTGAGGAGGATTTTATTCTTGCTTGACAACACGATGGAGCTCAGCATAACCGTGGTCAAGTGTCACCAGAGTGTTTGAATTATCAAGGTTCAAGCAAACACTTACACGCATGATATTCCTTGTAATCGGACTGCTATCAAATCGCCGTCCTTTATTTGTTTCACTGTCTTCGTTTTATTTACGGTTATTTGTGGCTGTAGCTAAAACAATCAAGCTTTTTTTTTTTCATACTGTTTCATCAGTGTGATCAACGTGCTTCACTATCCCTGTCCTGCAATTACATCAGTACTGTGTGGATTCTTTGTCTCAAGAAATTTTGTGGCTTACTTGTGATAGGTGAATTCGAGGCTCATATCTCAGCGCCCATTTGTATAAGGAGCCTTGCTTAAGCTGTGCAACCGTTCTGTCTGAGCTGAGGCTTGTGACTTGTGTTTACTGCTTGAACTATGCAGATAACTCTACTCCTACTGGAACACTATTGTTTTTTGATTAATTGTTATTGTGGCTAGAGTTTATATTATTGACACAAGATTCACAGGCCTGCACACTTGACTGGTTAGTTAACTATTGCAGAGATGTTGCGGTTGCTATCAGACAATGTTTTGTCTCATTAAAATCCTTTGCCTGGGGTTTTGTACCACTAGTACACCCTCATGTGGGCACCACTTCTCAATAGCAGAGGCACTTGTTGCATTTGTTGAAAAATCTGTTGTCCAAGAGCTGTTATTGGTAAATGCTTACTCTAGAGACCTCTGTAAATTAGGTCAGAGTAATCATGGTGTAACTGAAACGCTGAAGCACATATATCTAAAGGTTGATTTGGTTTTCCTTACAATTATTTGAAACAGAGGCTACCTGCTGACGAGTATCAGACAGCAGGATTACTTTGATCTATTTGGTGTGTTGCTGACTCACATATTCAAGTTTAAACGAACTTGTTAAAAGTGACAGTCAATATTCAGTGGTTACTTGTCAGCAAGGAGGCGCTTAGGAAGCAACCAGTTAACGGGAAGTTGTTCATTAAGTGTACTATGGTTACAAAGAAAACTTGTGATTCATTAACTTAATACCCTTTGTGCAAAAAAAAAATTCTTTTATGAGGCTTTTTTTGGGATTGGTTCGCTTGTTCGCTTGTTTGTATAGTATCCTCAAAATGTGGTTTCTGTGCACAAAAGGAAAGTAATACTTTTTTTTTTCCTCGGGAAACATGAGAAAACAAAAAGAGAAAGGAAAAGCTATCTGCAAGCTTTAGCTTTTGAATAATTATTGATTCTCTTTTGAAAATAACACGAATGCACTCAAACCTTATTATAACAAAGTTTTATCTTAACATAAAAATAAGTTCGTTATACTGAAAAATTTGTTATAAAGGCTTATTTCAAGTACTATATAATTTGCAAGACTTTTTTTTGTTTATTAGATTTGGGTGCACATTAAAGAACCCCAGGTGGTCAAAATTTCCAAAGCCCTCCACTACGGCGTCTCTCATAATCAAATGGTGGTTTTGGGACATTAAACCCCACAAATCAATCAATATTTTTTGTTTACTTTGTTATTACCAATATTTCGTTATATCTGGTTTCATTATAATGGGGTTAAAGTTAGTACCCTTAGAGAACCTTGGACTGACCATAACTGGCACCTGAGGCTAATAATTGTGGCTTCTGTCAGGGCACGGTTGTAGGTTTCGTCAAGCCAGGTCTGGAGTATTTCTATCTGCACGAGAGTTGCTAGATGCTTGCGAGCTAAAAAGCCAGGATTTAAGACAAAAGCCCCCAAAAATGAGAATTTATGGAATTTTCTCGTAAACGAAAATATTTTAATTCTAATAGAAAATGTGACTTGAATACACAGGGGAGTTGAAAAAATCACATTAGCTATTTTGTACCGCAAAAATATGCTCAACTATGAACGAAATCGTATATTTCTTTTCACACAATGTCTCCTGGGTAGTAATCATTCGGTTTAATGCACGTTCGCCTGTGCATGATTTGCGCAACTTCTTGATTCTCGCAATGTATGTTTGACTTCAGCACTCAACTACTCAACATCCTTGACAAACTTGCTATTTGTGGACATGATCACTAAAATAACTATATTCACTTGAAAAATGCAAATAAGCTCCCCCCCCGCAATAAAAAAAACTGAACAAGCAGCTGTAAAATTCTGCAAGCGATTCAGTGAACCAGGGTGCATCAGCTGCACCAATTTGATACGATTCTTCACTGTTGCGCAGAGCTGCGCCAAAACCATGACATTTGTTGAAACTTCGCTACGCTGCGCCAAAATGCTCTAGCAGCCTTAGGTGCTCTAATTTCAGGGAGAAATGAAGACCACTTTGGCCACCTACAGCTTGCATCATCAATCCAAGCATGCAAACCATACGCCTAAAACCTGGTGTAAGATATATACTATTTAGGCAAGGACATTTGCGAGACGCGATCGGCCAGATAAAGTAACGATGCCACGCGTTCATCAGTATCCTGACCGCAGTGGTTACCTATCAGAAGGATGCCGTAACTTCAAGACAAAAAATTAGAGGACCCTAAAGCTTCGCGTTTAAAAGTTGAACACTATAGCAACATCCTGTTTGTAGTGTGTACTTCAAACACTAAGTGCATGAAACCTGTTCGAATTTGCTATGCACCCACTACGTGGCTTTATAAGGGAATACGCGCAGTAGCATGTGTGCCTTTTGTTGCGGGGCACTAACTTTCGACCACAGAGCCATTATGACAATAACATATTCTGAAGCCTGTTGGCAACAGGCGCTTGAGCAGGCATTATAACTGCAATATTTAATGTGGCATTGCGAAGCATATATACAGGACGCGTGTGTTTGTGAAGCATGAAAGCTACTTTCACTGAATTTCTAAGCAGAGAAAGTTCTTTTCACTGTTTCCACAAGCAGAGGCGTGGCCGTGTGGTGGAACAGCCGCTTGCCACTCGAACGACCCGGGTTCGATCTCCACTTCAATCCCAACAACCCTGGCTTGGTTCCCACTCAGACGGAAGACCTGGCCGAAGCGTCGGACGCAGACGATCCAGGTTCCGGCCAGAGAACGCGGCCGTCCACGCTGCTGCCATCCAACCACCAGCTGGGGCGGCATTGCTGGCACGAGTACTGCATCTCGGGGCGCGGCCTGGCCTGCTGTTCTCTTCCTTGCCGCGTCGTCTCAAAGTCCATTTCTCCTCGCATGACACGCAAAACAAGCGTGTCGTGCGAGGAGAAATGGACTTTAAGACGACGCGGTAACAACACACACGGCGTTTATGACAGAGCACGAAAGATAAAAATAGAACATAGAACCAAAAACCACGAACGCGAGTAAGTAACAAACTGTCTGATCGAATGAGAAAACTATAGAACGCGAGTTCAAGGCGGAAAGTTCCAAAATCTCACGATGAGATAGGGGGCCCGACGGACGCCGAGGTGCAGGGCAGGAGGTGGCGACAGGCGATCGAGAGCGGGGTGCGTCTCGATGTGCGATGCTATGGTGACGATGACGCTTGGCGGAGTGGGGGCGTGGGTACGACTACAAAGCAGTCAACCCGCATCGGAGACGCTATGCTCCATGCGTGTAAATGGCCAGCCCGTCCAGCAAACAGCTTGCGTCGAGACGCGATGCTCGGCGCAACCGCGACCATTAGCCAGGCCACGTCCGTCCCTGTGCCGAACGGCCGAACACGGAGATGCCTCGCCGAGATCCACGATGCCCCGGCAAGGAAGAGAACAGCAGGCCAGGCCGCGCCCCGAGATGCAGTACTCGTGCCGGCAATGTCACCCCAGCTGGTGGTTGGACGGCAGCAGCGTCCAACTGCCAGCTTTATTTTATTTGCATCTTTCTGTATTTTTCGGTCACAGATAAGATGAGGATTTTTCGCTCACAACCAACGACACCGACACCAAAATTTTCGTGAAACGAGCTTTTTAATGCTATGGCGTAAAAAATGTGTTGTAGCCACCAACCCTTCTCAGGTGATATGAATTTTCTTGTGACCAAACACGGTAATGGCATGCTAGGAAGTTTAAAGCGTATGCCACGTTTTCAGCATGCGAACAAACTTAATGTGCTGTGAACGCCAGCGTTGCCAGCCACCACGTTGGTTTCCACAAAACCTGCACATAAAACGTTTTTCTGTCTGGGAGTTGTGCCGTCCCACCGATAAATATTTGGTGCCTTCGCTGGGCTAATGGGTGCATGCTGTTGTTACTTTATCTCGTCGAACACGCCTTGCAAGCGAGCTGAGAAGTTGTGCTCTAAATCTAACCGCCACCGTAGAAGAAAAAAAAAAGGGGGAGTGGGGTGCTGTTCGAAATTTTGTGGGCTTTGTTCTAACCCGCGCAGAATGCAGTTAAAGCTACCTTTCCTGCAGTACACCATTGTCTTGTGGATAAGCGCTTTATGATTTGGAAGGGGTTATTAGCGCTAGTCACGGGACATAGCACATTGTGTCCACTTATTCATGCATGTACCTGCTACATAATTAGGAGTGCTAGTATGATTGCTGACGTCTTACAAAAGTTACTTGCAATCATTTTGAGTATTGAATGACATTTTTGCTGCCCTAAAAAAATCGTACTTCAGTAACTTTTTTCGCCACCCCTACTTCTCTGCTTTATGATTTTTCTAAATTTCACAGTTGCCAGATTGGCAAAGTTACATTTGAATTTGCAGTCTGTCAAAGGACTTTAAGGGTGCAGCAAATTAATGGGGATTTCAGCATTGTTTGCTTAGTGGTGTGGTTTAAAACACTACTTTCTTCGAAAAGATGGTGCCCATCTTCACTCTGCTTGATTTAGGTGAAATGAAATGGCTTGTACATATAGTTTTTTTTTCTAAACTTAGGCCATCTGTTTTATACTGCTCCAAATTTGGTCTTTCATGATAAAAAATTGATGCCTTTTTTTCTATAACCTGCTTCCAATTTGGGTTGTAGGACTCTAAAAGTAACATTTCGCTGCTCCAAACATTGCTCCAAATGCTCCCCAAGTGAAGAAGCGCAAATGCATTCATTATAAGTGGAACTGGCTACTCTTATCTGCACAATGAAATGATAACAATCGCTCAGAGGTTGGGCAACTTTCTTGTTACACTTATGTAGTTGACGTTACAGACTTCAGGCCATCCTGATGTCATGGAAGTGAGCATTAGCAAATGTTTATCCAAGCCAGAGATGTCAAGAGAGTCCAACCATTATGCCAACCGATGTAAAAGGCAAATTTTTAGAAAAGCTAGGGTAGATACCTACAGTCATTTCTGAACCTGGTGGAATTTCCACTGCTGTTTCGTCATAACTTTCAGATCTCATATCCTACAGGCACAAATTATGATTTGATGTCTGCAAATACGTCAAATTTGGATGGCATCATTTCAAGGCACTCAGTATTACGTTCCAATAAAATGAAGGAATGTATGGTTTTGTTTGAATTTTGGTAATTTGTGATAATTAGCCTGAAAATAAAAATCTAATTTTTCAATTAGTCAGCTGTAGTTCTTGCCTAAAAAGAATCAAATATTAGGCCCGAAGCACATGCAAAGTTTGCTTTTGGTAGAACAATTGTAAAAAAACAAGGTAGCGTATCCAGCATAGTGATCCTGGGCAGGGATACACAGCACGAGGAAGTTGAATGACAGCTACTTGTTCACTCAGGAAGCTTACACAAATGTGCA